TATCTACATTACTGCCCAAATAGGTGTACGACTCCACGTCTTGGAGTGGGATGACATTAAAGGAAACCACATTACTATTTGCCTGATTTATTCTCATTATCTTTGTCTTTCCTTTATGGATTTTTAGACCAAGCTGCTGTGATCTCACATCTAGTATATTTATCTTGCATCTGATACCATGACTGGGACAGAAGAGAAATATCATCAGCGAAGTCCAGATCATCAAGCTGTTTTGTAGGGGTCCACTGAATTCCATTCTTGGTGTTAGCAGTTACTGTTTTCATAATCCAGTCTATAGCCAGTAAAAATAAGAGAGGCGACAAAAGACATCCCTGTCGCACACCTGATTTTATTTCAAATGTATCTGGATAACTGGGGGAACTTTGGGCCTGGTCTATTTAGAAGCATTTCAAAATATTCAACCCATCTGTCCATTTGATCTTTAGTGTTAGTAAGTACCTTTCCTTGACTATTTTTGATTGATCCAGTTGGCTGACTATATTTACCTACTAATTTTCTTGTGTTACTGTAAAGTTCTCTGAGGTTTCCTTTTGCTGCTGCTGTTTCCGCTTCTTGTGCTAGATCATTTAGATATTTCACTTTATCTGCACTTATATGCCTCCTAACTTCCTTGTTGGCTTCTGTGTATTTCTCCTGAGCTTTAGCAGCTCTAGTTTTGCTATTAAGTCTGCCTTTTTACTTTTCCTATCTTCAATCAGTTTAATGGTTTCTGATGTTATCCATGCTTTATGTTTCCTTTCTTTCTTGCCAAGAACTTCTATGCAAGATTCATTCCAGATTCCTTTGATCTGATCCCAGCAGACTTATGTGCTGACATCTTCAGCTAACTGCTGCAACACCCCTTACTTATTAGAGACTGTAACTGAAAACTGTTCCTGAACTTCTTTATCCCTGAGATAACCTACATTATTTAGGTTTCTATGATTACAAGATGTTATACATCTTTTTAGTTTCAACTTGATTTTACTTACCACCAGGAAATAGTCAGTAAATACATCAGCACCTTTGAAAGCCCTAACATTGTAAAGGGATGATCTAAACGTTTTGTTAATACAAAGGTGGTCAATTTGATTAGTTGTCTTATGGTCTGGTGATTCCCATGTTGCCTTGTGTATTCTTTTATGGGAAAAAATACTTCCACCAATTACATACTAGTTTCCTGCACACAAATTTGTGAACAATTCTCCATTCTCATTCATTACTCCTAGACCATGTCTTCCCATAATTTCTTCATAACCTGTGTTGTCTGATCCTATCTTAGCATTCAGGTCACCCATCAACATTTTTAAATTGCTCTTTCTTTCATTATTTATAATATTTTGAAGCTGCATGTAAAATTCTTCCCTAACAGATGCATCTTTATCATTTGTTGGTGCGTAACACTGTATTACCGACATGTTCACCTTCTGTTTCACTGTTCTTAAAGATGCTCTAATTATTCTGGGACTCACAGCTTCCCATTCTATTAATGCTCTGTCTGCTTCTTTTGATAGCATCAAGGCCCCTCCTTCTGTGTGGGGCGAATTTTCCTCTGTGTGTCCTGAGAACAAAATAGTTTCCTCTGAATTTAGAATACTTTTCCCCGCCCCAGTCCATCTAGTTTCACATAACCCCAAAATACTTATTCTATAATGTTTCAATTCTTTTGCTATTTCCATTGTTCTCCCTATATCATAGAGAGTTCTAACATTCCAGGTTCCAATTCTGGAGGTTCTCCTAGCTGAGAGGAGGTATGTCAACGATCTGGACTCCTTACGGCTTTCTCCACACCGTGCCATACTTCTTCTATTTAAAGAGCCTCCCCTCATCTTGGTTGGCTGGGTTTTACTTGCTTCTCTTTTTGACTTATCCATGGTTCGTTGGTTTTTGTGGCTATGGTTTTTACAGGATGAGGTAGCCAACCTCAAGCCCAACCCTACCCTTAGTCGCCTCTTACGACATGCCTGGTAGGGTGCAGTGTCACTATTCTTTGCTTCCCGTGAGGGCCCCGGTGCTTTTACATAAAATTATCTGCAGATTCTCATGATCGCTTTGTAAATGCATGCAAAGAATGTTGGCTCATCACCAGTTTCAACAAAACCAAGTCATGGGAATGAACAAAGTAAATCGATCTAGCATTAGCATTTACAACCATAAGCTATTGGTAGCACATGAATGTGAGTACCTTGGCTTTCAATTTGCAGAATTTCTTTCCCCAGATGCAGAACTAAAAAGAAAAATAAGAAGTGCTTATGCAATGTCTTTCAAACTCAACAAGAGTCTGGCAGAACAAAAGGCTGATGGACAGGACCACAATTACATTTATAAAGCTGGTGTCCTGAGCACACACTCATTTACTGCAGTCAAACCTGGACTTCATTTGCTCCTCAAGAAAACAACAACAAAATACAGAATACTTTCCATATGCCCTGTATGAGATGCATTCTTGGTATAGCATGGCCAGATTTCATTACCAACAAATGTGTACCCAGTAGAGCAGGAATGTCAACAGTGTTCTTTCTATTAAAGCAAAGAAGCCTTCACTGGTTGGGATATGTCTTCTACATGTGGCACACAATGCACTGCCATTCGTATGCGAAAGATACAAGGTTTTACAGGTGAAAATGTTATTAAAGGAACAGACAGGAAACACCTTCTGCATCAAGCCTTACGGGATAGCAGTGGACATCAGCTAAGAAGAGCATGTTTCGTAAAACCAAAACTAGCGTCCTGCACACAGATAAATATATGTGAGTAATCTGTAGGTTTGGTACTTTAAGCTCACCAACTGATATACCTACCTAGCATATCTGGTGTGAATCTTATTTTTGTATCAATGTGCAAATTGTATTGATCAGGTATACAGCTCTAGCACCTTGTATATATATATATATATAGTAGGCAACCATGAATATAGTGTATGTGTAAGTTATTAAATTTGTGTTAAAATGGTTGTCATATTTTATAAAACACAGTGTGACCACTCAAGAAATTAATATTGTCTTGTCTCTACATCTTTTTCAACATGCTGTGCAGTCTGTGTTACTGAAAAGAACAGAAATAAAAAAAATGAATTTACATTTGTATGAAAATAATGTCATGATGAAGAAAATCTGATAAACCTGTGCTTGAAGCAGAAGGTCCAGAACCTGGAGGTTCAGGCACCATGAGCTAGTGTCCCCTACCCCCCTCCTTTTCCCCTTTTCATAGGAAATGTGTAAGGGGGTGAGGGGGGGGGGGAGGGGGAGATGTCAAATAATCCTCCTCCCAACCATGTACAGATATTCTCTTCTCAACTCTTGGAGTTCCAGGGGGTTTAGCACCCAAGGGCTAGTAACTTCACAAATGTTACACATTAAGAAAACCCATATTAATTCAACTGTCGAGCAACATGCACATATTATAATCAAAGTGACCTGGGATTGTTGAGGAATAATCTTAAAATACTGCAACAAAAATTGGCTATCCTCCGAATAACGGTCCCAAATTAGTGAGATCGAAAATATACCCTAACAGGGCCTCAGTCATGTAAATTACGGACCTCTTTCCGGCGACTACACAGCATAACGCGGAAAAGCTTCCGTCGAGTTAAAGTCACCGCCAAGAGTATCTCCCGCGCCATTAGGTGAGTAGCGGAGCGGGGCTAAACTAGATGGCTGGTACTCACGAGCAGCAGCTATCGCATCCCCTGCAGCTTCCCTCATTTTATTTGCTCGTGAGTTCCAGCCATCTAATTATACGATGATGGTATAGTGGCCGGAAAGAAGTCCGCAATTTACATGTGACTGAGGCCCTGTTAGTCCTTATTTTCAGCCTTGATAATTTGGGATCGTTATTTGGAGGACAGCCAAAAAAATTAATTGCGTTAATAGTTAATTATTAGTAAATAAACATATGGTATGTTTAGAGAAATTAGTAAAAATAAATAATAAGTTTTCCAATTACCACTATAGCATTAGAGGAAAAACTATATAAAATATATTCAAAATGAATCACAAATAAACATGAATAATTTAGTAATGTATAAATAAAATATAAACATAAATCTGTCCACAAGATCTCTTTCCAGAGAAACATTTAGACATCACAACAGAGTGCCATTTTCTGGTGAAGAAAAAAGACCTCCAAAAACAATTAGTGTTTTCACACACACAAAAATGAACTTTATATAAAACTCAGTTTGCCCATAATTTTATAGCCTGTGTTCCCAAATAAGAGAATCCCACTAGACCTAACTAACACTGAAAAATATTGCCTTTTTCACTAAAATTTATTCTTTTTGTACCACCTGACTTTGTTTTCATTGTAGGCTTTGCGTGACACCCCATCAAAGTTAAAATCGATGGCTTAAACAATTCTACTCCATTACTTTCTTTGTCTAGCTTTGGATAAATCTGATAAACAAATCTATGTTTTATTTCAATATGAGGCTTCTAAAGTCAGACATCTTGTTGGCTTGCATGAAGAAGTCTGCTCGGAGGTCATACAGTTTTCACAAAGACACTTAATAACTCAACATAGTTCACAAACATGCTACATTTTATGTTTTTAACCATGTTTTAGAATATGCAAAAACTGTCACCATTTTTGTAATAAAACAAAAAGAACAGGAAATACCATTCAAAACGGCTGGGTTGCGTTGTTATACTGGCCAGTTGTAAACTTAAAACTTCAAAGTGCCATGCGCTGATTCGCGCCTGGGTAGTGACTGATTAGCGTGTAATGAGTTCAAATCTTTCATATTATTTCAAACGCAATATTATATAATTTGTCATTCAGCCGATAATAAGTAATTTACATTGCATCCTTAAACAAAATTGTAAGGGGGCTGAGCACACACCCCCCTCCCCTCCCCCTTTTTTCCCTCTACAATGATTAACTTGTGGTGGTGCCTCTGGTATGAAGTTTCAACCAAAGAGAAATTCAAATTACCATTACACACTGGGAGTCTAAACTTCACAAGAATTATTTTTCTTTTCAATATATCCATATTTACTTACATTTTGGTATATTCACTTGGTTTGATACCAAGACATCAGCATGAATGTCAGACATCTTCAGATACAAGGATTCAGGATTTGACTACCAACAAAGATGAAACATAAAAAGCACTTTAACAGCTTATACGAGTCTTGTTAAACACACACACTTTCAAACTATTGCCAGCTTAAAAAATATAATCCCTTATTAAAATAACATTTTATATGTGTTTGTGCGTGTGTGCATGCATGCCAATGTGTGTTCTGAGTTCAACAAAATCAGTTCTAGGTAACCAATCTTTTACTGTCATCCTTTTAAATATCATTCAGGCTGGTATTAGCATGATTTTGTATGCATTGTGACTGACTGACTTTCTACCCCACCAGGACATCACACAAGCGATAAACACCCGATGACACAAAGTGCCACCATGTGGATAAGGATTGCCGTGGAGAGGTCCCAGAAACCGCGTTCAGACAGTTGGACACATTTATGGCCTGCCTATATTGCGGCCCCCTGGCAAGAGCCAGGGTGGGGCTTCAAATAACAAAAAATTTCGTCATAAAAAGGACGAAACTGGATTAGTTAAGTATGCATTGTGTTAATGTGTCATTATTGGCTTCATACAAGCCAAAGTTTAATTTGGTTTAATTTTTTTAAAATATCTTGCCTCTTTCCTATGGTAATGTAATAAAAAGTTACTTGCATATTCTTTATAGGATATTGCAGAATCACCTCCAGCCTTTGTTTTTGCTGTCTATGATTTCAATAGGTAAATTTAAGTTCGGTAATTTGCCATTGCTATCTGGGTACAACTCACGAAAGTCACCCCATTTTGTCAAAACGTGAGATTTCACAGGCTATTTCCTGGGACGCTGCTATAATTCTAAAGTGTCATGTGTTCCTCGTTTTGACTGTACCGATGACAGCCACCACCATCACGTGTACATACACAAAAACATCAATGATTCAATACTCTCAAAACATCGCATGTTTGGAACTTTTTCCTACAGTACTTCTTCCCTGCACACAGGTGCTTGAGACCGACTTATAACAACACATTCAAAAGAAACCAAGTCAGTGTTTAGCACGCTGTGTATAGATTATGAAGGAAAACCCCTAAAACATAGGACAGCCTGTGAGAACCACTATGAAATCTCTCCGCTGAAGAGATGGGGTGACTTTTGTGAGTAGTACAGCTATCTAAACGGCCAGCTCTTTATACCGCTGTTGAAACCAACACAAGGTAGTCTGCTGACAAATCACCCACAGCTGGATCATACCCAGCATCCTGGAATCATAATGTGCGTTCACAACGCCTAAGCCACAGATGTCAACTGTAATGTAATCATCGCTGTTTAAATTAAAAGAAAACTATTATAAAACATTTACTATGAAACAAATAAAAAAATTACTTACCTTAAAAAGATCATACAAAGTTTCTCCCATTGCACTTTGCACACTGTCATCAACAATGTAGAAATTCTGACAGAAAAACTGAAACAAAAGACAGCTGTCTTGTCAATTATTATGGCCGAGAAAACTCCTTTCTAAGAACTGTTTAATTATCCTAAAATTGCATACTCAATTTATTAGTAAATTTTCAGATGTTATTTATTAAGCATTATTACTGAAAATCTATATGTACGTTTTGAAGCTTTCTTTTCGTTTCCTCACGTCAGCTGTGATACTGGTAATTAGTAGTGGCCATAGCCATTCTATATTAATAAAAATTTAATTTTCCGAGTTTGTTAACTCTAAACTCGGAAACTACTGAACCGATTGCTTGCAAATTTTCAAACAACGTTGCCTCTGACTCAAAGCATGATTTTTTGTCATAAAATCGCACAAACCATGAACGACGTAGCTCCAGCAACGGCCAAATCATTGTTTGTTTCGTTTCCTGCCCGGATTTGTTTTTAGTTGATTGGCCGCCTTCGACTGCTGAGCAGTGCTGCCAATAGATGCCCTTTTCCCTAGGATCAACTTCGACATTTCTTTACAGATCGCTTTAAAATTTTCACACAACATTGCCTTAGACTCCACGCGTGTTTGTATGTATGAGTTTTGCACAAACCACGAACGACATAGCTCCAGCAACGATCACTTCATTAGTTATTTCGTTGCCGGCCCGGATTTGTTTTAAGTCGATTGGCCACTTTTGACTGTGTAACACCGAACTTCACATTATTATTATTTACTTTCATTTCTACTAAATGCTTCAGATTTTAGTAGCGTAGTTAGTTGTAAGCATTTTGCCTTTTACACGGCTGGTAGGGGTTCGATTTCCCACTGGGTGATATAATTTTTGTTGGCACCTAACTGGGTGGCTGCCACGTTTTGTTGTGGTTTATAGTTTAGTTATACCTGTTTAAGCACAACAGATGCTTTAGCCTCGATAAACAATCGTTTTTTCTCTCTCGAACAGTGCACTTTATTCTACCAATAATATCGACATTCACTGATATGTTGACTGTTCTAGTGTTGGCATATCAGAATATCTCTGTAGCTGTGCATTGACTGATATTGACCATATTAGACAGGTGCGCTTTCTATTTTATTTCTTTTCCAGTTTACCATTCTGGGCCACAGCAACGCGTGGCCGGGTACAGCTAGTCTTCTAAATAAGATGTTGGTACTTTTTTTGACAGCACCACTGCCCTCTAACCCACAGTCAGTTACAGATGCCATACTTGTAATAGAAGCTGGAGAATGTAGGATCCCAATAAATGACAAGTGACAGGATGTAATAGGGAACATTCCCATAAGCACTCCTTCCTCATCTTCAGAAGCCAGCGCTCAGTACCCGTGCTGGTGGTAGCAGTTTTGTATTTTGTCAACTTGCCTTTCCCATGTACGCTGAGTGTCAACAAGATCCCCTGGTCATTCCCTGCTCCATTCTCTCCAGATCACAATGTTCTATTCTCCCATATTGTTTACTTGCCCCTAAAAGGCCTAGGCATAATATAACTTGTCATGCCTACTATATAAATATATATATACATATCTGTGTGTGTGTGTGCATGCGTGTGTGTCTGTCTCTCTCTCTCTCTTTTCTCTCTCTCTCTCTCTCTCTCTCTCTCTCTCTCTCTCTCTCTCTCTCTCTCTCTCAACTGCACAGACATTTTTACCACAGGTATGGCAGTCAATGAGCAAACCTCTGCACTGAGATTTAGCACTGGCTATCCTCTCACTAAACAGGCGAAGCATGTGACCAGTTAAGAAGGAAAATCACATTCCCAGGTGGAGTTAAAAAACAACAACCTGACATTCAGTTGGATTACAAACACGATGAAGTCAGACTCATTGCCTGAGACAAAACTCTTTTCCTGCAAGGCAAATGTGCTGACTGTGTTAACTCTTTCTGTCCAAGGTTGGTGCTGTTTTAAAATAATAAATATATGGCTCTAAAGCAGCTTAGTTAATTCATCTATGGACAAGAAAAACACCCAACAATAGAACCGATTACCAAATAAATGCAATAGGGGGATACATATCTCTACACTGTGTCTAGAGAAATTAGTGAACATGCGATTATTTTTTTCGACAACCAAGGATTTAACAACCTTGACAGGATATGAGCCACGAGCCTGGGCTTATCATACTGAGAAGACTACATTCTTTCTACACCCTGTGTTTGTAGCCTTCAAATCTCATCCGTCATTCCTTCAATTAGCAAAGGAAGAATAATTATTCGTTGTAACATAAAGTGGGTCCAAGTTGTGCAACTGCACAGAAAGCCTATTACCAGGTTATCATCTGACTATGGCCATAAAGAAGTGAATGTGGAGAGGGACCTCAAAGATACACACTGACATTTTAAGTCCCATTACTATCTCGCCTGTTGACACACCAGCAGATACCTCGGAGTACTAAAGTGAATCTTATCAGAACTATTTTTTGGCCAACACTATGCTATCAATGCCAAACGTGGACACTTACATCCTCCAATGAACGTAAAATTGTGACAACAGAGATGAAATGCCTTAGAAGAGCTGCAGGAGTTTCAAGGAAAGACAGAATACGAAATCATGAAATCAAACGAATGCTAGGAATAAAGCCAGTCTTACAGGTCATCAAAGAACAAAAAATGAAGTGGTTTGGACACCTAACAAGAATGCCCTGGTACTATCTGCCACAGCGAGCCACACTAAAACGTTACAACGGGTATAGAGAGAGTGGAAGACCTTGGAAAAGATGGAGTGATGGTATAAAAACAGACTTACAAAAATGAACATCAATCCTAATAGTGCTCTTGACAGAGCTCATCAACGAACATTACATCTCCCCCCGACACTTCGATGAGGTAACAGATGGAAGAGAAGAAGAAGAAGAAATGAAGACAAATCATTTTGGATTATGAAACAGGAAGGAGCTAGAAATGGTGTCCTAAAAATTGCCTGCTCCACTATGTCCCTCCACTGCATACCGCAGCTGGAGGAAACCCCTCTTCTGTGGTCAACAAAAACGAAAACAAAAGACTTGTAACATACCACTAAAGTTCGGCACGTGGAACGTGCGAACTCTCCTGGATAGAGAAAATGCTTTTGCACCAGAAAGACGAACCACCCTGATTGAGAAAGAGCTTGGTAGATACAACATCCATATTGCCACCTTGAACAAGACTAGACTTGTTGATGGTGCAGGTTACACATTCTACTGGAGTGGTAGAAGTCCCGAAGAATGCAGAGAAGCCGGAGTGGGTTTTACAGTGAAGACCACATTAGTCGGTAAACTGACTAAACCCACAAAAGATAAAAGTGATTGACTCATGGTGATGTCATTACTAGGGCTGTACCGAAATATTCACTTCATATTCGCTTTGGGGCCAAATAGTGGACCTAATAACTATTCAGTATTTGGCAGAATACTTGCAGTCGGGCCGAATACGAATAGTGGTTACCTTACACCTGTTTCTGCATACACTGCGACAGTTGCTGTTGCCTAAGTCGCTTTCAAGTATTAACTAAGCTGTCCGTGACAATTTACAAGTTTAGTTACTTGTTATAAAACTAAGAATACTTTCATTTGTTAGTTCCCACAGACTGACTGACTGAAGGATGCAAAACAAAATGTTTTTAAATGTTTACTATTTTGTACTACATTCTGTGAAATAAAATTTCATCGTACATTTGACATTATAAATGCTTTTTTTTTAGATCTATTTTTTACACTATACAATATTCGAAAGTGGAAGAATTGGCCTCAGTTTGAATAGTGGGAAGACAGAAGTAATGGTGGTATCAAAGAAATTATTCCTAAATGTGTAATAAAGGTCAATGGTGTTACTTTGGGACAAGTACAGAAATTTAAGTATCTTGTTAGAAGGTTAGAAAAGAATTCTTGCTTGCTACATACATCCAGTTTTAACATATGCAGGCCAAACAATTTCTTGAGGCCTCAGAGGTATCATTTTACAGAATAATGATCAAAATACCTTGGACAGCCAAAAAAATGCAACCACAAGGTTTTGAAAGAGGCGGGAGCCTGAAGACAACTAATCACAGATATCAGAAGGAGACAGTCATCATTTTTCAGCCATGTTATGAGAAGAGAGAAAATGGAACATGTGGTGACCACTGGAAAGATCAGTGGAAGGAGGGATAGAGGAAGACAACGAGAGAAGTTTCTTGACAGTCTTGTTGCATGGCATGGAGGTGTGTCAGTAAACAAACTAATACATGCTGCAGGAGATCGCAGATTGTGGCGAGGCATACTCACCCACGCCAGTCGACAAGGCACCTGATGATGATGATTCACTATTCATATTCGCCCGAATAGTTGGTCCTGCTATTCGTATTCGGCCATAGTGAAAATCACTATTTGGTACAGCCCTAGTCATTACCATTGTTTCAAGGGAAAAAATGCCACACTCATAAGTGCATATGCACCAACATTGACGAATACAGACGAGACCATAAACAAATTCTCCGAAGACCTGAGGACTGTAATTGTATCAGTACCAACAGACGACAAGCTTATCATCCTGGTGACTTCAATGTTAGAGTGGGTACAGCATTTAACACATGGGACGGTATAACTGGAAGACATGGGGTTTTTCTTCATCAGCATTCCCAGCGCTTGAGGTTCTTTACTGCAGATATCACTGGTCCCCATTCATCTCTCTGGTTGGCCTTCTCTCTCCAGTTAGTGACACCAAGTGTTTGCAGGTCTGTCTGGACGTTATCTCTTCATCATCTTTTTGATCTGCCTCATGGTCTATGACCATTCATCTTCCTTGTATATACAGTTTTTACTTCTCTGTCAACCATTTCAGTCTATTAGCTCTTATGATGCCAGTGATCAATGGTGATTTTAAGAGTATGCCTTTCATTGTTGCTTCTCACTCTCCATTGCCTGCTGTTTGCATCTTTGATGGGTCCAAAATTTTCTCCTAGTAAGATCTGTTTTCAAAAACCTGTGATAAGGCTTCTTCTCTTTCAGTTGTGGTCCAAGTTTCAGAGCCATATAACACGACCGGTCTTGTCAAGGTCTTATATATTTTGAGCTTGGTGTTGAGAGACTGATACTTTGACTTTAGCAGATGTTGTATTCTAGATTGTATTTCTTCTCTCAGCATGTTGGTTGGAGCAGTTGAAGTTTGCACCCAAGTACTTATATGTTTCCATTTGTTTGATTGGTAGGTGTATATGTGTATATATGCACCAAACATAATAATATATGTTCGTGTCTGTATGTGTGTGTTTGCACGTAGTATGTGTGTGTGAATGTACACATACATGCTGAATTAGAGGACTGATGTGAGATGTGTAAAAAGAAAGAAAAACACTCTGGCTACAGTACATTAATAGCACACGTATGCCTTTTTCTAGGGATTCGGTAGTTCAGACTCAAGTTCAAGCTGAAGAACTGAAGGGCTAATAAAGGCCATCAGGTCATTGGAGGGGTGATACTTGGCTGATGAATGTAATGTCCCTGGTCCCCTCACCAGCATATGGGCAATACCCTCACAAAAATTACATATAAAGATGGAATTAAATTTCTGATAGAATATTCACGGCAGCTATGTTCACTGTACTCTGATGTTGAAATTTGCAGCAAATGTTGGTAGGACAAAGTGAGGAAGGAGAGAAAGAAAAAAGATGGTAACAGGAGGACTAGATAAAACACTGATAGATTATCACTTAAGTTAATTCAAACTAGATACTGCAACTGTCGAAGTGCAAAGCAACTAAAAGATGCACTGAAGAAAATAATGTTTGAATTTAATAATCTCATGATTTAGGAGACCAGAATAAAAGATGAATCAAAAATTAAATGTCCAGATTATAAGTGTTACAGTTACTCTGATGGAAAATGTCTACAAGTATGAGATTGTATTGCCATCACCATTGGCTGTTAGCCCCTCCTCATTGCACAATATAACACTATTGTCTGGACAGATGGCAACAACTACAACAATAAAACAATTCAAACAAATTTTGCTTGTCCACTAACTTAACCAGAAGCCAGGGGAGCTGCTTGCTTGCCTACCCAAAGGTCTTGGGCTTGAACCCACATCAAGGCAAAGTTTTATAATGAATACAGAACTTCCAGACTGATCCAGCCTAAAATGGGTAAAACTGTGGATGGGTCAGGTCGAAGACATTATTCTGCAGGTGTTTTTACTTGAGGACATTTAATCTGGTGAGGAATAGGTATGAGTGCCAACAGAGTGCTGTATGACTTGTTTCTGTTTGCAGCCAGCTAAACAGAAAATGCAGACAACAAAGTCTGGCAACTGTGGAGGCAGAAGTACAGTCTTTGATTTTCAAGAATTTACCAGAAGGGGAGGCTGTCATTTATACAGATGGGCTTTTACCGCTCAGGCTGGAGTTAGAATTGCGAAGCACAATTCTGGTGCTTTTGCCTTGACTACAAGTAGTATGACTATGGAGGTCATGGTGAGACCAAAGCAATATCATGGCTGGTGATACAGACCTTCACCCACGCACGTTTTCTCATTGACTGAATGAGTATGCTCAGGAATATAGAGATGGGCTGGGTCTGAAGACAGTGGTTGGAGTCTCTGCGGTCTCTCAGGTGGTCAGGGCTGTCACACATCAGTTTCATATTCGTGCCAGAGCACACAGGCATACAGAAAAATGAGCAAGTTAATAGTCTTGCAGGTTAAGCTACCTGGAGGGCTGACATGCCATGACCAGGCTGATTTACTGAATGCTCTACAAGAAGTAAGACACTTGCCAGAACCAAATGATGAGAGAAGCTACAGCCATGAACCAGGATGATTTACTGAATGCTATACAAGAAGTAAGACACTTGCCAGAACCAAGTGATGAGTGAAGCTACAGCCATGAACCAGGATGATTTACTGAATGCTATACAAGAAGTAAGACACTTGCCAGAACCAAGAAATGACACTTGCCAGAACCAAGTGAGTGAAGCTACAGCCATGAACCAGGATGATTTACTGAATGCTATACAAGAAGTAAGACACTTGCCAGAACCAAGTGATGAGTGAAGCTACAGCCATGACCAGGATGATTTACTGAATGCTATACAAGAAGTAAGACACTTGCCAGAACCAAGTGATGAGTGAAGCTACAGCCATGACCAGGCTGATTTACTGAATGCTATACAAGAAGTAAGACACTTGCCAGAACCAAGTGATGAGTGAAGCTACAGCCATGACCAGGATGATTTACTGAATGCTATACAAGAAGTAAGACACTTGCCAGAACCAAGTGATGAGTGAAGCTACAGCCATGACCAGGATGATTTACTGAATGCTCTACAAGAAGTAAGACACTTGCCAGAACCAAGTGATGAGAGAAGCTACAGCCATGAACCAGGATGATTTACCAGCTATGGATGATTTACTGAATGCTATACAAGAAGTAAGACACTTGCCAGAACCAAGTGATGAGTGAAGCTACAGCCATGACCAGGATGATTTACTGAATGCTATACAAGAAGTAAGACACTTGCCAGAACCAAGTGATGAGTGAAGCTACAGCCATGACCAGGATGATTTACTGAATGCTATACAAGAAGTAAGACACTTGCCAGAACCAAGTGATGAGTGAAGCTACAGCCATGACCAGGATGATTTACTGAATGCTCTACAAGAAGTAAGACACTTGCCAGAACCAAGTGATGAGAGAAGCTACAGCCATGAACCAGGATGATTTACTGAATGCTATACAAGAAGTAAGACACTTGCCAGAACCAAGTGATGAGTGAAGCTACAGCCATGAACCAGGATGATTTACTGAATGCTATACAAGAAGTAAGACACTTGCCAGAACCAAGTGATGAGTGAAGCTACAGCCATGACCAGACTGGAAGAACACCATGTTAAAAATAGTGTGGTCAGACAAGAGTACTGTGCAGGAAGCTAAAGAAGACTAAAAAACCAACACAAGATAACACAAGTCGCTATATGCTGGGAGGGGATCCGAGCATTTATGAATTGAATGGTTCAATGGTCAATGAGGATAATCTGTTGACTGACTAACTAACATTTCCAGCAGATTCTGTAGTTGTTGTGGATCCTCAGTAATTAATAATGTGTCACCAATGTTTTGTAAATAGTAAGTAAATAAATTAAGTAAATTAAGTAAAATAAAAGTAAATAGTAAAACTTAGTAAGCAGAGTCTGTGGCTTAGACGTTGCGAGCCTGACTCGTAATTCCAACGTACCGCGATCGAAACCCACTGCTGGCTGCGTGGATTTTTATCATTGTATGGGGCATCGCAGGTCGACCCAGCCCAAAATGGGTACCAGCATGTATGTCCTAGGGAAGTAAAGATGGCCGGCATAATGCTGACCATGATACCCACCTTGTGCTGATTGGTCTGTAAAAATGTGGGTGCTCTTCCCATATGCCCGATACGCCTAAAGACATGAAAAGGGATCTTTACTTTACTTTTACTTTTACCAATGTTTTGTCGCATGATGATTAGCCCTGGTATTGCTTCAATATATCATAAACAGTTTTATTTGCTAGATAAATTTATTAATAGGACTTACTGCACATTCTCTAACCTGTTTTCATAAGAGTAAACTGTGCTATCAAATACAATCTATGAGTTTAAACAATTTTATCTTTTTAAAATTACAAAAAATCATTACCAATAGAAAAATATGTGACTTTCACCATATATTCAGTAAGCCTGCAAGTGAAAAGGGATACTTAACTTTTCCTACTAGTTCTAGGTGTATGATAAATAAAAACTAAAGTCAGAATGGTTATTCTGATAAACAGGAAAACCAATTAATCCTCTTATGTAGAATGCACTTTCTCTTAAACAATGTTTTAAAATCACTTAGATAATTTAAATGTACACCAAAGGGTTTTATTATATTCTTCCTTTTGTGTGTGTCAGATAATAGCGTTATGCCCCTAGGTGTCGCAGTTTACTTGAAGATTCTTTGGGTATGTGTCTTTACTGATGGGTGAGCACAAAACACAAGCAGAAATAGAGCAGGAGTGTATACTGAGTATATAAAAAATAACAGATATTTAGCCAAAATACCTTCAGGAAAGCAATCACAACTATGAGCCATCACAATAGCAGCAGAAAAATTGTTAAATATACGTCACATTTCAAAACTCGTGATTTTCCTAAGAGATGCAAGAGCGTTACATCGGGCACTTCAATCTGGAAAATTACCTATACATTAACACTACTCTCCAAACTAGGCAACTGGTGTAAGGTAACTATGCAATGGATACCATCCCAGTGTGGAGTTCATGGAAATAAAAAAAAGATGATAAACTTGCTAAGGAAAGCGCAAATTAAGAACAGCCTGCTGTAACAGTCTCTTATCAACAGACCAAAACCGGCACAAGACGATTACCATATTATGTACAGACCAGAGCAAGTTATTATTTTACGCCTTAGAACAGGACACAATCGACTTCGCAGCCACATGTATACAAAATATAAAATTGGCGAATCATCTATGTGCACATGTGGACTGGCAACTGAAGAAACAGATGACGTCCTCCAAGACTGTGCCAAATACAACATGTCAAGGCAAAACTGTTGGGTCTTAGCTCTCTCAGAATGCATTCATTCTCACTGGGTGGCCAAATAATTTAGTCTGTATCTCAAGTGATTAAACGATGGGCCTTGTTCCATTAGTTTCCCTTTCTTACATATCTTCTGGATTTTTCTTAGCCTTTTTAAAAAATTGCAATTGACAAGTGGTTAGTTTTTTCTCCTGTTCTTTAGTTAATGTCCCTGTCTGACATTGGAAACCTACATTTGGATTAAAGACTGCATTTACAATTTGTCTTGTAATTTATGTTGGAATAGATGGGAGTTTTAAAAGTGGGGTCAGCTGATACATAATACTGTTGGCTTGTTGAATTCTTGTTCTAAATCTGTAAATAGGACAAAGAAAATTACTTTAGATGGCAAAGTACGTACCTTGAGAGCAATACTTGCTTGTCTTTGGCTGTCAGCATGTTGTGTGTTTCCCAGAGCATACAACAAATGATGAGTTACCCTCAGCTAGAAAACATATATTTAAAGAACTGAATATTTCAAAAAAGAATGATGATTTTACAATGATCAGTAAATTTACATTTCAAGAATAAGTTTTGTTACGCGTAAATATATTTTGCCACATATTTTGTGCTGCATATACTATTTTGAACATGTCTACTAAATTAAGACTTTATATAGTGCTCACAGTAATTCTAATAATTCGTTTTAACAATGTGCTCCAGATCAACTGATTAAAAATATGTCTGGCAACAGTCAGAACAACTGGATACAGAAGGTACTTATAAGAAAACAAAGCCCAGATCAAGGCAGCCATCAGAGCAATTAGGAACACTTCTCACTCAGAACACAATCCTGACATCAAAAAGCTGCCACCAGCTCAGGTCAAAATGGACGCTAGGCAGGGGTACTGTTTGGACCCGAGGCAAATTGTTTGCTTCTGCTGGACGGTGGCCGATGCATTTTTGCTCCATTTGTATACTGGATATAGTTTCGTCGCCCTGCTTCTTAGTTGAATGCATGGTGTGACACTGTGGGCTGCGGCTTTCATTTGAAATATTTTTTCGACTGTGACCAATGTGGTGTTAATTGTAGAGTCAGAAAATGGTGCGATACCTATCGTCACAATGGTGGTGGTGCCCATTTGTGATTAAAACTGATTGCGTGGGCAACTGCTGATCTGTTGGTGACTTCTGCTACCATCAATGATGAACTGCATTTCTAATGTTGGACTGTTTGTGTTAGCACTTCGGATGGCTAAGGTATGCTTTAATGCGTGTGTATGCTGGATATGCTGAGACAGCAGTCTGTCGATCTTTCCACAAGGGACTGTGAAAAACATTCTGTGTGTTTTTCATTGGCACAGGAGTGGAGCAAAGATGGGGTGACCCGTTTGCTATGAAGCTGAAACTAAGACTACCAGACTAAAACTACCAAATGCATGATTAACCTATGTAAAGCACATAACAACAGCATCCACAAAGAAAACTGTTTCTGAAAGCTGGCTTCATAGCTATCTGACTCCACTGGCAAAACCCAGCAAAGATGCTATGCACTTAAGTGGCTTCTGATTGACTGCAAAGCAAAATACGCTTGAAAAAGTCTTGGAAAAGATAATGGCGAGAAGGTTGGTAAGCCAGCTTGAAACCCACAACTTACTGCTCCCCCCTCCCCACCTGGAAGCTATGGACAGAGTGTGGAGATCTGGTGTAACGCTGCAGTCTTTGCACACGACACCTCTGAATGTTTTCAAGGCAGTGACCCAACATGTCCAGTTGTTATGTTATCTATATATACAATATGATTGCTTTTAAAGGAGCATGCTGAAAATATATTGGACACTCAGAATGAGTGATAGAGTGAGTAGTATAAATGTTTTCAATGGGCTAAGAAGGAGCCTATCCTACCACTAAACATGTCCACCAAGTTGTGGATGGTGGAGCAGCCTCTAGTTACAGAGGTTATCCTCAAATATACTGAATAAGCGGCCATGGACTAAAACAGGTGGTGGTCACTGACAGGAGGAGAGCTGGCTACTGGAGTTAAACCATAAACAAACTGGCACAAGTCAAGGGGAAACCACCGCTGTAGTCTCCCTAATAAATCATGCCTTTAGACTCATTGACCTGAAATTATTGGTAGTGAATAATCAAAAGGCAGAAACTCACAGGACACCCCTTAAATCTATGAAAAAAATACAGTTCTACAAAAATGTATTTATCTGCATCAAAACATTTTTTCTCTCGAAATATATGGGAGTAGTCAATAAACATGAATGGAGTGAAGCATTCAATGGTTTATATCTGGAGCCAAACAAATTGTAACAACTCACTCAAACAGGAATTCACTGGAATTTTATGTTTGCAAATTATGGTGTCAAAATGGCTTAAACAAATCTTCTTTTTTTTTACAAAGAACCCCCCCCCCCCCCCCCCCAATCCTGCTAATTTTAGTAAATATTCTCATATTCAGGCCCCCTAAACACTGTGCAGGTGCAAGCATAACCCAAGAGCAATGTAAATGGGTTTGGCAGGAACAGGCCACTGTAGAAATGCTGGGTTAGCAGCATTTACGCGATTGAGTCACAGTAGAAAATAATGGATTCACAACTTTTCGAGGCAACAGGGTTAGGAGATTGGTTGAAATATATAATCCACTTCACATCTATTCATTTAAAACAGTAAAGGAAATTCATACATCACCTTCTGACTTTTCTTCCAACTATTTATTTCAGTTTGTAGTTGTGTTCCTATCTTTCACTATATATATGGCAAAATTTAAAAAAATACTTTATCTCAGAAACATGTTTTTACATGTTCTTACCTTAATGAGCTTTGCTGCAATTTCTTTTGACTCTCTAGCCAAAATTCTTTAAAAAAAAGAAGCAGTCAGAACAAACCTAATTATTTAGATATTTTAATAAAACTGAATTGTCTAACATTTTTATTTATGCAAATGTGATTAATAGAGATATTATTGCAGATAAAAAACAATTACAGAATTTCAAAATAAACAAATTACAAAAGAAGCATTACAGAACAAAAACAATTAAGATACTTTGGCCATAAAAAGAAAGTTGACAGTAAAGAAAGAAACCCTGCAATTGAAAAACTGCTTCAAGAGATACTGAACAGCAAGTGTAAACATTTGACAGCTGACAGTGTGGAGATGTCATCTGATGGTGGTGATGATGTGTTCACTGCCACAGCATTGACAAGATGTTACCACAGTCCACTAGGAAAGCCAATAATAACAACACTGCAACCTGTTACTTATGTCATCAGAGGCGATCAAGAAGAATCAGCTTGAGACTAGCTATGCCATCTTTTAGAAAACATTACCCCAACCTGAGTTTTGAGGTTCTTTTTTCGGGAAGACAAGAATCAATCCACTGCCGTTTTTCGAGTATGTTGTAAAAGAAAACTAATAAGGAAATTTCTGAAACTGGATTTACTGAGCCAAAAGGTATAGATATTGCAGCACAGCTGTAAACTACAACACAGTGTACTAACCACCTTTTTAGAGCACATGCAGAAGAAGCAGAAGAAGAAGAGTAAGAAAAAGATGACATTACATTCCAATCTCAACCAATCAAGAGAAAGTGTAAAGAAGGTCAGTGGTAATTCAACAGGTCACCCCATTACTGATCTATTTCTGCAAAACACTAAACAAAATTCATACTAAAGTTCCATGTGAAAAGTTCTGGCACAGCCAAACATATGTTTACATATTTAATGCAACAGGCAGTTGTCAGAAGTGTCATCATTAACCGTCTGCAACTAGCATTGCAGCTCATCAAAGATGAAAGCACCAGTCATGTCAAACTGACTGTTGTACATACAATAAAAATTAATGCATACCATTTTCTGAATAAGCAGCTCACAGCACCAACCACTTTGGCACAGGCACAAAACACTCAACAAAACATGCATAGCTCACAGTGTCACTCAGAAGTTTGGTGAAAGAACCAACTATTTTAAGTCCATATATGAGGAAACTGCATCAGAAAATGATGGCCAGAAGCAAATAACACTTCAAGACTTTAAAGGACATTCTGCCAAATTGCACTGGGGGTCTAAAAAGTGCTTGGCATTAGTTGGTTGAAGACCTATGCTCCATCAGGGAAATGAGCGCTGAGAAAGAAATCTAGGGGTATGTGTATTCATGAGAGGATAAATGTCGGTGTATGTGAGTGTGACTGTGCATATGTCAATAAATGAGTGATTATGTATGAGGGTTATGTGTGTGTTTGTATGCAGGTATGCATGTATGTGTGTGTGTAAGTATGAGTGTTTAATGAGTTATGAGTTGGGCTATCTTCATTGCACTCTGGACACGCCCATATGTGCTCAGATTTTGCCCTTCAGCATATATGTCAGTGCTCTGTGATTAATAGTGCATGTCCTATGCTGGTTGACAAGGCTTCTTGTATGTGCAGTTTGCCTCTCCTGCCTGGCTGTGCTAATCTGTACATTTAATTTTCTCATTTTCAGCATTGATGTGGTCCAGCTGCTTGCAAAATTCTCTGATCGTCCATTACTTTAAGGGCAGTAACAATGTTTTCACAAGCCATAGGCCAGCCATCTGCAACTAAAGCAGAACCGGACAGTCTACCAAATCTTCTTTGCTAACAACACCCACATGCCCTGGGACAAAGATGAAGGTAATTAATTGCACTGTGTAACTTCGGATTTGTGTGGCCTTGGTAAACAAAACCATTTAAAGAGTCAACTGGGATAATGAACTCATATTTTCTGTTAAACTTTTACAAGAGGTAACTAAGGTAAGTGACCTAGAAACTTGCCAGAAAACCATGGGGGTGAAACCACAAAGAAATGTTAACTAACTTTGGAAACCCCAGTCATAAATTCAGAGAAGGGGAGGTAGCCTGTCAGTAAACAAAGCACCCATTCTTGATGCTGGAGTTTCTTTCCAAAGTTTGTTAACCTCAAAAGCCACTCCCAGTGAAATTTGCAAGAATAGCAGAAAAGATACAAGGAAACGGGCAAAGGGAGGTCACGTCCTGGCCAAAGTTCAAACTCAGGAGGCTTGTGTTAGTTCAGTATGATTCTTGGTAAGAGCAGTCTGGAGAGAAGGTCCCTACCACAGAAACATGACATGAGAATGAAAGCCAACTGGTGAGAAGTCGCTGGTTTGAAGACATGGCAGAACAAAGTAAGCTTAGTAAGTAGTTCCAGATAATGCAGGAAACCTTCCTGGATGTTTTGTAAATACTATTTATGTTGTTTTGCAGTAATTAGATAGGATGGCATATTATAGATCATGTTAGTTATTGGCATGAAACATGATGATGATTACTGTGCTACATAACAGGGTCCTGCAGTTTGTCTAATTAAATAGCAGGACAAAGGTAATGCCATGATGATAGAATCAAGTTTATTAATCCAATTTATGAGTAGCTGTATGTATTTATAATGATTTGTGGAAGCAGACATATCTTGGAACACTGAAGGAAAACCAGAACAACCCGAAACAGTCTGAAGAGGCAGCAGCAAGAGATTCCTGTGGTAACTAGGTCTCGAGGGCCAATATCAGATGTCACTGATAGACAGCAGATGGCTGGCTTCATAGTAAATGAACTAAGTGACACAAAGACAACCTTTCATGTATCTTGGTCGGCATGGTTTTGATTGAAAAGCAAAGCAGCGGACACTGATGTAGAAATGATAATTATATGTAATAGATGTTTTCTGTGGTATATTTGTAATGTAGAATATAGGTTTCTGTCTAAGGATATGGTATATATTGGATGGCCAGCATGGCACATGATGATGATGGTTATGAAAATAGATAAACATGAAAAATGAGCTGTCTAATTGAAATGCATGGCTAAAGCTGCAAGGAAATAATAACGTCATGTGTAATAACATTATGCCCAAGTAAATAATGCAGTTATAGTGCTGTTATGTTTTGAGGCATGATTTTCTAGGGATAAAACAGCGGTGGTTTCCCCTTGCCTTCCACCGGTTTGTAATTGGTTTGACTCCAATAGCCTTTGTCAGGGGGGGGGGGGGGGTGGGGGGGTTATTGTGACGACACGCTCGGTGACTTCAGAATGTCTTTCCTCAACCTACTGTTTCTTCTATGTATACAGAAAAATATGGTTTTGGATATAACCTAAATCTAAGTAAGGCGACCAGAACAAACCTATTTAATTCTCCTGGACTGCTGATGATATCAAACACTGAGACTTTTTCCCAGATGTAAAATGTTACGGTACAGATAAGACTGTAGCAGGTAGACTATGTGGCACCAGTGAAATTAAAAGCTCAGACCTAGTGGCTGCAGATTTTTCTTGTAGAACTGAGGTGTCAGATAATTATCTCCTAGCCAGACCTTTAGGGGCAGATAACGCAGGCTAATTGTGATTATCTCCCCCTGAGGTTACCTGACTTGAGTGCAGGTCAGATGGCCAGTATTGACATGGTCTGGTGGAGGTGTTAGCAAACAACCTGGCAGGTTGAAGAAGGGATGGAAGGTGTGACTTAGCTTATGAGCTCTGGTCAGCTTGATGGACCAGGAGAATGTAACCGTGGGAATGCAAACAAGTTTTGTACAGTCCTGACTGACAATTAATAGACTTACCCATGGGGTGGGGCTGTGACATCCTTGAATAAGAGTGGTTTTAGGAGTAATGTGGGAGGAGCTTAGAAGAATTTATAAAAGGGTGGACTCTAGGGCTGGGAAGTGAGACTCTGCCATTAGCACACCATCTGTTGGGCTTAAACCCTAAGCTTGAGACAGAACTTTTGGCATTGTGTTTTCATTTTCCAGTTCCCACTTTGGGCAGGGACTAGTGGGCATCCATTCTTTGCCGACCATCTGCGTGTAACGCCCTGCTTGAAGCAGCGAGGACGACAAACTGGAAAGGGAAATGCAAGGTCTCAAATCGAGAACTGCCTGAGGTTTATTTTCTCAAATTTTATGAGTTATGTTTAACTTTCATATGAATTAATTTCATCAGTAAACCATCTTCACGCTACTAGCCTAAACAGGTTCATTTTATTTTGTTAGATTTATTCAATAAATCTTGTTCATGTTATAAAATAGTTGAGTAAATTGTGTACTTAAGTTCAAGTGTCTTTGTGCATACTTGTTTACTTCAGCTCACAAATATGTAAATCACTTGATGGGGGCTTTTGTTATAAATTAATACCAGGAGAGGAGTAAGTCGGAGGGGTAAACTGTGTATCTTGATGTTATCTCATTGGGTTCATCTTGATATCTGTCTATCCCTTCTCCTACTCCTGTGGATACAAGTACAGCTACTTTCCTTTGATGGAACGAGCCACTCGCTGTTTCTTGGGTGTCCAGGACTGTCTAGGATCAGCATAGCTTAGATATTAGTCCAGTTTCTCACGTGGGTGGACACTGTTAGGGTTCAAACCCACACACTCACTATAAAAGTGTATTTACCCACGGGGGGTTGGCGACAGTTATGGCGCATCTTGCCTGCCAATAATCATTCATAGAGTTTTGAGGTATTTTACAGTTAGCTGTCCCACCTCCTCTCAATGACCATCACCTGTTTAGGCCCACGGCCACTTATTCAGTATATTCGTCGCTAACCTCTATATATAGGTGCCTTTCCACCATCCGCCACCTGGTGGACGTGCCTAGTAGTTTTCTTGATAGTCTTTTTGCATGACATGGAGGTGTTTCAGCACACAAACTGATGCATGCTACAGGTGATCACAGACTGTTGAGAGGCACAATCGCTCATGCTAGTCGGCAAGGCACCTAATGATGATAATGCTGTTAACTATTAGATGTGATTTGAAGACGGGAAAAGAATGATATAAGAAGATATATGAATATGAAAGTCATTTAGCTGAGGAAACCAAACTTGGACAATCCAAATCAAGGGGCTTGGAGGCCAGCTCAGGGGTACAATAGATTTTACCTGTAGGGGGTAGGACAGAAGTATCAGATGTTGAGGTTGAATGAGGCTGCAGCAAGACTGTAGTGTTAAGCAAAAGCATGAACATTCATGTTGTAGGAGTAAATAGTTTCATGCATAAATATGCATCCTAGAATGTGTGACGATTGAGAGTACAAGTGAGTTAGTGAATAGAATACAAGTGCACAATAATGTGTGTTTGAAGTGAGAACTATTCGTATGAAGATGAGCTGTTGGTTGCGATGTAAAATAAGATTTATGTTATTGAGTTCACTTTGATATGCATAGGAATGTGAACTTATAGATTGTTTGAAAATACTTAACAGGTGACTAATGTCCATTAGCTGTCATGATTAGACTGGGTCAGGCTAATTGGTAGTCAAGAGTCAATCCTAATTGCACCCAGAGGCACATAAGGCAGAGACAAACTGTCACCACTCTATTCGATCCTGAGCCATCCTTTCTATCTACAGTTTTTTCCTTCATGTAACCTTGACTTCAGTAATTGGTAGTAGCGTGTAGCTAATCTATAGTTGGCAGTTGGCTATTAAGAAGATGATATCTCGAAAGGTCCTGTTCACGTTTTCAGGCCTAGGATTAGAAAAACATCCCTTGAATTCATGCTTCCTTAAGTCGTTGGACCTCTCTTATGTTGCAGGGGTGTTATGATATGGCTTGGTTTGGCATTCGCTCTGCGTATGTAAAGTTTGTGGGAGTTTTTTAAAATTTGAGTCTATTTCAGGCACCCTGTGTACAAGTTTAAAAGTACTGCAGGGGTGAGGGCCGTAAGCTTGACGATTCTTGGCTATCAAGACTGGGATGCTTTTGTATTTCTACATTAGTTGGCGGTGGCTTACCCCCGAAAGAAAGAAAGTAGTTACAAGGAGCGTAGGATTCGAAAAAAATATCGCTGTTTCCATACTCCTGAACCGTCATGCAGGTAGCAGAACGTGACAATAATCCCGCAAGTGGTGAGAAGACAAAAAAAAGAGGCAACAGTTAAACCGTTCACAATATGGAAAGCATACCTCCTCCACATAATAGGAGAGGTCCAGCGACCTAAGGAGGTATGAATGACAAAGAAAGTTACTCTAATCCTGGGCCTGGAAACATGAACAGCACCTCTAGAAAGTAACTGGTATGATGAGATGTAGATTACGGTATTTGTATCAATTGATCAACTGATCAATTGCAAGTAAGGAGATTCTAAGAGTTACTTGCTAGTTTATTGTTGAGTAGAGCAGATTCTGCTATCAGTTCTAATAGATGGTAGGCTGTTGTAATATTGGAGGTTTTATAATGTGAATATCAATTGGGTTCACTCTGGTTATAACTAGGTTTAACATCCTGTGTATTATGTTGTGTTTTGGTGTGATCTTGTTTGCGTTATAATAGACATACAACTTTGTAATTCTGTTCCTTAGTAAACATGATTGTTAGTCGTTATCATTTTATTACATTGTTAGTTTGTTGAGTTTAGGTCCTGTATCGTCTGGGATGTTAGACCCATTACTATACTCCCCACATATCTTCTCATACAGCCTTTAACTTTCATTTTTTTCACCTCTCTCTACTTCTATATCCCCTCTTCTCGCTATCTCCCTTTAGAATGTAAAACTTCAGCGTTTACATTTTACTTAATCCACGATCTTTGTACAGCCGGCCACGACCAGCTAGATCATGCTCACAGAATCACTCAGCACACACATATGGGAATAGCTTAGTGATTCTAACCATATAAAAACTTGTGTCACCATCATCCCCTTTGTTCATCAGCACCCAGATAGCCCACTGGCTTGCCGGTAGATGACTTTGTTGCTGATTGGGACAGTATTGGGATCTGTCTGCTTTGATGGCATTAACACTGTAGGAGTCCTACAGGGCTTCTAGCGGTGTGTAATACTAAGTCATTTATATGGTGCACATAACCTAGTCACAATTATAACCTAAAGCATGTTCTTCGAGGATGCTGGCTGAACATGACAATTTTTTTAAAGCAAAGCATCAGATCGGCATCCCCTTTATCATTATGCTGCTAGTTGTCATAGAAAAGGCACCACTGGTTTCCTTGATAGTTCTGCCTAAAGACTGAGCTGCGAATGCCCATGCACTGTTGAGTCATACAACAGATCTGTTTGTATAGATCTGCTCATCCGCATGTTGTGTCATACAACAGATCTGTTTGTATAGATCAGCTCATCCGCATGTTGTGTCATACAACAGATCTGTTTGTATAGATCAGCTCAGCCGCATGTTGTGTCAAACAACAGCTCGTCCGCCTCATCTAAATTGTCACTGACATTACCAGCAACAGGACTCTGATCCTGACAACTCCTATCAAGTATGATGGCACAGGAGAAAGTGCAATTGAGCAAGTAAGGAATTGATATAATCCTCTGCCATACATAGCCATGATTTGTGACTTTTTAAAAATTCTGTTGATCTTTTTTGTTGTTGCTGAAGAGCATGTTGTGCAAAGGGTGCCTCATATCTAAGCTTAACTTGAGGAATGCTTAAGCCCTTATTAATATTGATCCTGTGGTTCAAGGTCAGAAAGTCAAAAAGATATTAAATTGCTATACAATAGGTGTCTTTAGTGTACCACAGAATAATTTATAAGGCTTAATTTTGCACCTTTTCAATTCTGTCAGCCTGAGTACTGCTGACAGTGAGAAGGCTAAAAGCATATTCAGTGGGAGAAAGAACCAGTTCATGGAACACAAGCAGAAACAGTCTCTGTATGATGTAGAGGGCAGCCAGGACCAGCTTTGCCTACAGACCTTAGTAATTACATGGTCAACGTATTCTTTAAAAATAGATCAAACTTCATTTCACGATTTGTCATCAGTTGGATCTCGTCAAAGCTTCATTACTGATTTCCAACACTAGTAAGTCTGCTTCTTCTTTTTCTTCTTCTTTTCCAGCATTCAGAGCCCTTGAGGTTCATTGCTGCAGATATCACTCGTCTTCATTCATCTCTCTGGTTTCTTCTCTTTCCAGTTGGTGACATCAAGTGTTTATGGGACTGTCTGGATATTATCTCTCCACTGACTTCTTAGTATGTCTTTTGGTCTATGAACATTCAGCTCCCTTGTTTATACAGTTTTTATTTCAGCCATCTGACATTTCCTCAATATGCCCCAGCCATTAAGTAAAGTAAAGTAAAGGACCCTTTCCACGCCTTTAGGCGTATAGGGCATATAGGGCTAGACCTATATTTTTATAGACCAACGGCACAAGATAGGTGATGTGGTCAGCATCACGCCCGCCCCAGCCATTCCAGTCTATTAACCTTTATGATGCCAGTAATCTGTTTCATTAATAAAGAAAAAATATGTTCAATAAATAGTGCATAGCCACTATCATAAACTAGGGACACAGTAACTCAGCACACTTTTCCTATTTACCCAATAGTTTTAGCAGCGGCAGCTTGCTGAACAAATGCAGACAATGGCATCTTCAAATCAGGAGATCCATTTCCTTGTTTTAAATAATACACACAAACAGAAAAAAAAAATTGATAAAATGTGATCTGTAAAAATGAACAACTACAGAATTACAGTACTTTTGACAAGCTGCTTAAAAAGTGCTTTAACCATGTGATATAACTTTTTGTAATATTCTGTTTCAGTGCAATGTCTTCATGTCTTTATTTTACATATTTATGATATAACTTATTGTAATATTCTGTTTCAGTGCAATGTCTTCATGTCTTTATTTTACATATTTATGATATAACTTATTGTAATATTCTGTTTAAGTGCAATGTCTTCATGTCTTTATTTTAAATATTTATGGAGAGTGGCTCACAAATTAATTTTCTTCAGTGAATCTGTTTTACATGATTAGTTATTATATCACTATCCTCATCCTTAGGCCACTATTGGCTGTAGACAGACTTATTAGTTCCCTACTCTTCTGTCAGTCAGATGCAATGGACTTGATATTTGCATGTGATTCACCTGTCCAGTCAGCCAAATTCTGTATTCATGTCTTTTTCAGTTAGTCTGTTCTGGTCTTCCCCTCAACTGAGCCCTGTGGTATTGTTCTGCTCTTCCCCTCAACTGAGCCCTATGGTATTGTTCTGGAGCAGCCGGTAGATATGATTAAATGTTGTACAACTGCATTTTCTGCCATTTCATTGTTTTTTTTTAAAAGGTTCACAGTTGCCAAAGTGTTGACTGATGATGCAATGAACTTAAACATTTGTGTTGTGGTCTCCGTATGACAAATTAAGGATTTAAAAACAAATATTCTGTTTTCAATGTTTGTAAATTCCTTTTAAGTTTGGATGTTAAGATTCACATTTCACGGCACATAAGCACTGATAACTAGTGCTCTAAACAGTCATATTTTTGTTTTACACAAGATATTTTTGGATCTCCATAAAACTTGCTGTTTAGTGAGAACAGATGTTTGTGCAATTTTTGACACGATTTTTGGTTGGGATCCTAGGTCACTTAGAATGAATTCTAAGACGTCTGGGCTGATACAACAGGTCTAGTTTGTGAACTCTGACATATACTGGTGTATTTATACATGATTTCAGTCTGCATTTATTTACACGCCACCTCTGTAGATGTTTCATCAAATACATCCAAGAGTTCAGCTAGCTCTTGTTCTGCCCTTCATCTGCAAATCTGTGGCACTGTGATTTTGGTGACAGGCGTGAGGGTAAATTAAGGCCATTGTAATGTGTATAAAGAGATAGTCCATATCTTATCTCAGCTGCCAGCAGGCTCTGTGATGGTTTTATGAATCCTCAAGCAAGACCTCTGCCAATCATCCTTGTCCTGTGCCATAGATAAGGGCTATATAGGCCTAAACTGAGATTGTAACCCATTCCCCGAGCATGGTTGATAATGCACATGGAAAACTTATTTGGAATATGAGTAAACTCCGCTGGTTGGGAACCCTTATAAATGATAAACTCAGATTAAAATATCTCTTGTCTGAATCTGAAAGTCCTACTGTATGTCTGCTTAGGTTCAAATATTTATCCATATGGTGTCATAATGTAAAACAGCAAAACATTATGATATTTTTTGTTCAGAGATTCCATTCACTCAAGTGTAATGACCATACAGGGAAGCCATGCTTGATTCATGCTTCCCATAATTGTTGAAAAAAAAATGCCCTCTGGCATCCACATGAAAGATGCCCTTGTTAAAGGTAAAAGTCTAACATGCTGAGGAAATGAGATGCCCTTGTTAAAGGTAAAAGTCTAACATGCTGAGGAAATGAGATGCCCTTGTTAAAGGTAAAAGTCTAACATGCTGAGGAAATGAGATGCCCTTGTTAAAGGTAAAAGTCTAACATGCTGAGGAAATGAGATGCCCTTGTTAAAGGTAAAAGTCTAACATGCTGAGGAAATGAGATGCCCTTGTTAAAGGTAAAAGTCTAACATGCTGAGGAAATGAGATGCCCTTGTTAAAGGTAAAAGTCTAACATGCTGAGGAAATGAGATGCCCTTGTTAAAGGTAAAAGTCTAACATGCTGAGGAAATGAGATGCCCTTGTTAAAGGTAAAAGTCTAACATGCTGAGGAAATGAGATGCCCTTGTTAAAGGTAAAAGTCTAACATGCTGAGGAAATGAGATGCCCTTGTTAAAGGTAAAAGTCTAACATGCTGAGGAAATGAGATGCCCTTGTTAAAGGTAAAAGTCTAACATGCTGAGGAAATGAGATGCCCTTGTTAAAGGTAAAAGTCTAACATGCTGAGGAAATGAGATCCCCTTGTTAAAGGTAAAAGTCTAACATGCTGAGGAAATGAGATGCCCTTGTTAAAGATAAAAGTCTAATATGCTGAGGAAATAAGATGCCCTTGTTAAAGGTAAAAGTCCAACATGCTGAGGAAATGAGACGCCCTTGTTAAAGGTAAAAGTCTAACATGCTGAGGAAATGAGATGCCCTTGTTAAAGGTAAAAGTCTAACATGCTGAGGAAATGAGATGCCCTTGTTAAAGGTAAAAGTCTAACATGCTGAGGAAATGAGATGCCCTTGTTAAAGGTAAAAGTCTAACATGCTGAGGAAATGAGATGCCTTTGTTAAAGGTAAAAGTCTAACATGCTGAGGAAATGAGATGCCCTTGTTAAAGATAAAAGTCTAATATGCTGAGGAAATGAGACGCTCTTGTTAAAGTTAAAAGTCTAACATCCTGAGGAAATGAGATCCCCTTTAGTGCAGGGAATTGGAGTCTTAGGTTTGCAGACTGTTTCCTGGTGATCCATAAAGATCACAGGCCACAATGAGTGGAAGGCTCAATACATGGATGTAAGCTTAGGCAGTCATGTGAGCCCAGTACCAGAGCACCATGTATCAGCTCTGCATTCATGAAAGCCTTCTTGGGTGGTATAGAATGCCATGCTCTTTTTTTAGAGTCTTATCAATCAGCCTGTGGCAGCCCTGGACAGGGTTCCCCTGGGACTTGTGGATAAGGGGATGATGAAGTCACCACACCTTTGAGACTTCAAATGCCCCATGAAACTAGCCAGGAAAGCTTACTGGATAATAAATGTCTGAAGAAGTTGGATGTGTCGGCTGAAAGATGCAAATATCGCAGCTATGCTGTAAACAAGCACAACACATTTACATCACTTGTATAATAAAAATAAAATTTGTAAATCTGAGATTGTTTTTGTTTTGTCCTCCAACCATTTTGACACTGGTGTAAACTGACAGTTTTGGGAATGGTAATAATTAGTGAAGGAGAAGGGAGGAAAAGGGGAAGAAGGAGGAGGAGAGGGAGAAGGAAGAAGAAGAGAAAAAGAAGGAGGAGGACAAAAAAAACCAGGAGAATGAGGATACACACATTTAGATCCTTGCTAGGGTTACAGATTTCATGCACTGCGCTGAGGCTGCTGATGTGTGGTCTATAGTAGGACATTAGGGATAGATGTTTTTTGAACAAACCTAAAAACAATTTATCTTTCCATTCATCCATCCATCCATCCATATCCATCCATCCATCCATAACCATCCATTCGTCCTTTCATCCGTCTATACATCCATCAAACATACTTTATATTTACACATGTAACCAAAAATGTAAAGAATAAATTGTTAAGTTTTTGTTAGTGTAAAAGTTCAAAACACAGAACACTACGTATGGGTTGTAAGAAAGTTTCTTCTTCCCAGAGGGTTTACTAGAGTAAACATTTTTTAACCATGGTGAGCAACTGTGGGGAAAAACAGCTATTCGCTGTTAAACAGGTAAACAAATGTAATCAAGTAGCATTTTTTAAAATGGAAATTGAGCAGAATGATTGCCAGGCGACCAGTTTTTGTATCAAAGAAATCAAGCTTAATATTATATAATCATCCTAAACTAACCAGTAGAATGTCTGTAATTCCCACTAAAAACAGAAGAGGGCACTCCTTGCAATGACCACCTTAGTGAGACGCATTCAATGGTTGTTTGCGGTGATTATAAGGGAGACAATCCACTTGTCGTGTATGTTCACTTAATAATCATATTCTCTCATATTTAAAATTGTTTGCGATCAAGGTTAGGGTAAGGATTTGGGTTAGGGTAAGGATTTGGGTTAGGGTAAGGATTTGGGTTAGGGTAAGGATTTGGGTTAGGGTAAGGATTTGGGTTAGGGTAAGGATTTGGGTTAGGGTAAGGATTTGGGTTAGGGTAAGGATTTGGGTTAGGGTTAGTTGTTGGGTTAGAGTTAGCCCTAACTCATACAATATTAAATATGCAAGAATATTATTATTATACGAATATACACAAACAATGGATTATGTGACCTGGGTTTGGTACTAACAGAAATGTTTCCTTACAGTGGACTGTGTCCCCCTAGAGTCGCCGTTGCAAGGAGTATCCAGAAAAGCTTTAACATAAATTGTCATAATGAAAATACAACACCGCTCTGAGAGCTGTCATTAAGTTCCCGGAGTAAATTTTTCAGGGCAAATGTCCTAACACACATAGACCTGAACTGGGTTAGTGTCAAATCGGAATCTGTAACTTCTGAATTTAAAAAAAAAAGCCTATCATGGGACATAACCTTGTAGAATACTATAATTCACATACACAATCAGATGGGCACTACACTGATGGAGATTAAACAACTTGTTACCAACTAACTTTGAAATATTTCATAATGGAATTTAATTTTCAGCCCTCATTTTGACCCATATTTTGCAGAATATTTCACACAATCAATGGCAGCTGAGAGAAGTGCAAAAAATATATGAAACACCACATACTTAACGGCCGATCAGTTTGGGTTAAACTATTTTCCGCAGCGGGTCTTAGCAGAGCCACCAGTTCTGTTAATATAGCATCTGCAGCTTCATAGTGCATTAAATCTTTTAAAAGTTCAGTGACTGTAAACAAGAAAGAAAACATTAAAAAAAATTATTCATTTCCAAATGAGACTTCTTCCATGGAATTATTTTCAATAACTTTCCTGTTTTCTTTCTGTGTGTGACGACACGCCTGGTAACACCAGAACGTGTTTTTCACCGAGATTACCCCACTTGAGTGTAGGTCAGATGGCTGATGTTGACACTTGTCCGTAAAAGTGAGATTTCAGAAATGTTACATAACAGGCCAAATTGGGCCTGTTTAAACATGCCAAATCAGGCAAGAAAGTCCAGACATTGTCTCCACACTTGGCTGATTTTTCACCACACCTTTTACTGACACTGAGAAAACCAGATGGACCCACCTTAATGTTTGATCAGTAGGTGACTGACAACTGATTGACAGGCATGTAGTGAATTACCTATACCCACGGGGAGGAGCTTTGACATCTCTTGAATGAAAGCATTTGATACAGATTAGGGGAGGAGCTAAATGAACTTTATTTTCAAAGGGTCAAAAATTGGGCACGCAGGCCCATCTTACATTCGGCCCTTCCAAACACCCGCCCACTAACTCACTTAAACACACAAATAAACACACCCACATACCTTTACACACACACACACACACATAAATACACCCTCATTCACCCACATACATACCTACCTACTCACATAAACATGCACATTCCACACACATATATACATACATACAGATACACACATGCACACACAGATACACCCACAGAAGCAAACGCAGACACACACACACAAACCTACATGCACAGACACAAATACACACACACAGACACACACAGATACACGCACACAGACAAACTCGCAGACACACAAACACACACACACACAATTGCAGACACACATACACACACACACGATGATGCTCACGCAGACACATAAACACAGACACACAACCACAGACACACACACGCAGATGCATACGCATACATACATGCACATGCACAGATACACACAAACACACACTTACGGACACACAAGCAAACACATATGCAGACATACATACACACAGGCACACAGTCACATGCAGACACATACACACACACATGCAGACACACCCAGAGACAATACACACACACAGAGACACACACAAACACACACAGACAAACACACACAGACACACACAAAGACATACACATATATATACACACAGCAATATACACGTAGAACACACAGACACGCAAACACACGCACAAACATGCAGACACGTACACACAGATACACATGTAGACACATACACACAGTCATACAGGCAGACACACACGCACAAACACACACATACACACAAACACACACACACAGACCCACAGACACACAATACAAACACACACAGACACAAAAATACATACAAACAAACACACAGGGACACATACACAGAGACACACACGCAGACATCCACAAGTAGATACATGATTTTTAATTTGTTTATGAGAATATCATGATCTACCATATTGAAGGCTTCCTTAAAGTCAACAAACACTGCCCCACAAATGTTACCACTGTTGATATTAAAATGCTAGTTGTCAGTCATTTTTGTCAATGTGGTATGGCAAGAATGTTTAGGCCTGAAGCCTGATTGACTAATAATTATTAGGTTATTTTTAGTTTAATTCCGTAATGTAGTTTTCTGTGTTTCTCTAACGGTTTTGACAGTGACGAAAGGAGAGAAATGGGTCTATAAATACCTGGAAAGTTTACGTCTGCTGAGCCAGGTTTTAACAGAGTATATATACACTTTGGAAGCTTTAAATGCTGATGGAAAATAGTTTTTAGTAAGACAATGATTGTATATAAACGTTAAGGAATAGCTAATAACTGGTGCAGCACATCATAGAATTCAATTACTGACTCCATCCAAGCCAGATGAGTTTGATTGCTTGAGGTTGGAGAGATATTTATACACGTCATCAACAGACATAAGAGGAATCTCAGAAGGGATAGTTGTAGGGCACTTTTCCTCACAGAATGATGCTAATAAGCTTAAGTCACAATGTGAGTCCGGTATTGTGCATTTTAAATCCTCTATTTCTGATTTAAAGAAAGAACTAGAATCCCCATACGTTAGAGAATTTGATATTGTTTTGTCTAAAGATTTCTCGTTGGTTAGCGTGTTAATAGCCTTCCATATATCTGCACTATTTGTTTTGTCTGTAATTAATTTGTTAAAGTGATTTTTCTTGTTTTTACGAATTAAATATTGTACTTTAATTCTCAGTTTACGGTAAAGTTCTAAATTTGTATTCTTGTGTGCCCTATCTCGGTCTCTCATACTTTCCAGAAGTAATGGCAGTAACAAAAACAATGATTATCCAAGAGACATTTTTTCCATGCATGCTTTCTAAGTGATTATATGAGCATACTTAAGAAGGATGAATTTGAAGAAAAGGTTGGAGTCACTGGGGAAATCATGTCTGACATAAATCAGAGTCATTTTTGTGCCAGGCCACTCTTAGGAAAGAGGGAATGAAAGAGCAGATTGGCTTGCTGGCAGCGCCACATTAGATACAGAAAAAGCCATGGACTGGGCTCATATTCTCAATGCTCTCAAAGAGGCAGAATGAGTAGATGATTCAGGAGATGTCAGTGAGTCAAAATATTTCAAAGACAACAAGAACTTGAAGTCAAAAAAAAGTGCCGCCAGTCAGGAACACTATACAGCTAGCCAAAGAAGAATAGTAAACCAACATGTAGTACCCATATTTAATAAAGCGGTCTAAAAGCTTTTAGAAACAATAACAACTGGTCTATTTAATAAGTTAATATGCATATATTAAAATTAATATGAAAAACATATGCTAATGCGCACCTATTAGTGTGCAGCTGTTTACAATACTATGATAAAAATAAACTTTTCATAAGTGGCATAAACATAATATCTTACCTTCAAATTGAACTTCAAGGTGAAGAGAACCCAGCAATTTTAATAATGGTTCAATTATTGCAGAGTTGACTGATGCTACAATTGGTTGAACTGTTCGAAGAGCATTACAAGCTAACTGATGGGCTTTAGGTGAATTGCATGTCAAAATAGCAATGAGGCCTTTATATACCTGCAGGCAAAATAAAAACTCAGCATGACGGTCAGAATCTCATATTTGTGTTGATTATAGCACAGAACAAGAGCTATAATTGTACAATAGCTAGCTGCTTACTTCTTTCAAGGTTAAGATTTTTTTTTTTTTTAGGTTAACTGTCTGGAAATTCATCTAATGATTCCACAATATTTACTTTGATTCTTTAAGAGTAAAGAAAACACACAAACTCCACACAACTTTTAAGTTTAAACCAATTAGGTAACAGCATAGTTTCAAAATAGTCTTCATCGTGATGGAATTTAGCATCCATCAGCTTCACAGTTGGACCTGGAAACACATTAACATTTGATGAGTAATAAAATCTCACAGTTCAGGTGGACTGGAGATAAAGCCCTGTTTACTTGGAACCAGTAGCTTACTACGAGTGGACAAGACCGGCCTGCAAGTCCAATCTTCAAATACAATTTCCAATCTCTGCAAAATGACAATGACCATCCAAACTTAAGTCAGATAGTGGGAACTGTTAGACAAGGATAAAAGACAGCTGACCAAGTGATGTTGTATTATTACAGCACAAAATGTAATCACAACGGGTAAACCTTGGAAACTCAAACAAGTGATGTAGAGAATTCTCAAATGTAGAAGATGTGGATGAAGAATTGACACTGAGGTACAGAATGGCCAAAAGTACCTGTGATGGGATGCCCAGTGACTTCAGATTGTGTCTTCCTCAACCTAATTTTTTTCTATGTATTTTGAGAGAGAAGTGAATATGGTCCTGGATATAGCCTAAATCAAGGCCATCCAGAACAAAGCCATTTAATTTTCCTTCAGTACTGTTGAAGTCAAATATCAGTACCCTTGCAGAGTGTTTGAGGGGTCAGATAATTCAGAAAAGACTGACCAGGTAGACTGCGTGGCTACAGTTTAATTGAATGCACTGACCACCCAATGCCTGCTCTAATAATGCCTACCGACTAAATCACAATACATTTTGGCAGAGAACCCTCAAAAACTGGTTACTGGAAGCGTTTCTATGTTGCATTGTGTGACATTTTAATATGCTTACAAAGTTCTGTGTTCTGAATGTATTCGTATTACAAATCGGCAAGTGAATATTGTGAAGTGGATATACAAGATTTTCAAATTTGAATTTAAATTCACGGAAGACAGTCGTGTTGTGATGTGTGTGTGTCACTGATTCTAGTCAGTAGTTTGGATTTTTGGGAACTGGCTGTTTATTCGTTTTCTACTTTGAATGTAGAAATCTTACTTTTGGGGAAAATACATACAGGTAATTTAGAAGCCATATCTGGAGAATATCGACAGTTGTCAGGTGCAAACTATCTTGTGTTGGAAGAAAACTATTGCTTTCATATTGATTGTGCATAAATGGTGCAACCACACTGTGGATAAATTGTGTCAAGATATTTCAGAGCTCTGGGTAAGTGCATAAAAACAATATTTAATTGACTAACTAACCTCTCACAGCAAGTCACTCTTTGCCTCTTTACTAATTGTTGACTAACAGTATAATTATATGTTATAGAAGTATACTAATAATATTATTATTTTTGTGAATATTTTTAATGGCTGTAAACTCTGGCAGAAATTTCTGGTTGTTCATGTACTTCTTATGCACATTTGCAGTTGTACGGTCTGTGTTCATTTTTGTGAATTTTCTTCTGCTTCGCAAACACTGGCTTTAAACTCTAGCATAAACTTCTGGTTGTTCATCTACTTCTTATGCATATTTTCAATTGTACGGTCTGTGTTCATTTTTGTGAATTGTCTTCTGCTTCGCAAACATTGGCTGTAAACTCTGGCAGAAACTTCTGGTTGTTCATCTACTTCTTATGCACAATTGCAATTGTACGGTCTGTGTTCATTTTTGGGAATTGTCTTCTGCTTCGTGAACACTGGCTGTAAACTATGGCAGAAACTTCTGGTTGTTCATCTACTTCTTATGTACATTTGCGGTTGTACAGTCTGTGTTCCTTTTTGTGAATTGTCTTCTGCTTCGTGAACACTGGCTGTAAACTCTAGCAAAAAACTGTTGGTTGTTAATCTAATTCTGGGCTTTAATCTTGTTCCAGACACTGTTTTGAACAACAAGATCCGGTATCTAGATGGGGGATTTTTGTGTTTGATATGTGTATGTTGCACAGTATTTGCAGTTATTTTTTTTTTTTAAATTTGCTTTAATTACCTTTAAAATAATATACCATTTATGATACTTATATGCGTTGTTGCATGCAGTATTCAGAAATATGTGTGATGTATTTTTAACAGCTACCAAAAAATTCACAATGATAAGGAATTGATTTCATCCAACAAGATGAAACTGGATAAACTTGTTTGTGCTGTTTGTACCTTGAGGATAAATATTTAGTAGTGCTATAAGTACTGTTAAGAAAACTGCTCTGGGTGAACAGTTATTGCACATATCAGTTTTATATTGACTGTGCTTGTTTACTAATTATTAAATAACAGTATAATTGTATGTTGTAGTAGTCTACTAATAGTAATAAAAACCATCAATCATTTATATTCATGTTATGTTAATGGAAAGATGGTGTAATCTTCAAATTACCTAAAAAAGGTGATTTATCCGATTGTAACAACTGGAGAGGCATCACCCTGCTTTCGATACCAGGGAAACTATTTTGTAGTATGCTACTAGAAAGATTGAAAAAATCTATAGATGAAAGATTAAGGGAAGAACAAGCCGGTTTTAGATCCAAGCGGTCATGCATAGACCACATCTTTACTCTTAGAATAATTGTTGAAGATTCTACAGAATTCCAGTCGAAATTATTGATCAACTTTGTCGACTTTCAAAAAGCCTTCGCCAGTATCCATCATCCAACACTCTGGAAATTGCTTAACATCTATGGTTTCCCCATCAAATATATCAACATCATAAAATCTTGTTATAATGAAACACGATGCTGTGTAAGAACTGATTTCGGCAATTCTGACTGGTTCCCGGTGGAAACAGGAGTGAAGCAAGGCTGTGTCCTATCGCCGATACTTTTTGGTATAGCAATCGACTGGGTCATGCGCAAGTGCATAAATAACGCAAATTTAGGCATTACATGGGTTGACAAAATTCTGGAAGACCTAGACTTCGCCGACGACATAGCACTCCTGAGTTCAGAACACACAGACGCCCAAGAAAAAATCAATCGACTCCAGAATTTCTCAGAACAAATTGGACTCCAAATTAACACCGCAAAATCAAAAATTCTAGACCTTACCAACATTTGAGTTGATATCACGCTGAACAACAACAGCTTTGAAAAAGTCAACAGTTTCACTTATCTAGGGAGCAAGATGTCATCTACAGGAGATACCGCACTAGAAATATCATTTAGAATAGCACTGGCATCTAGTGCCTTCAATAAACTGTCTAACATCTGGAAATCAAAGACACTTAGCAAACACACAAAACTCAAGATCTTCAATTCTTGTGTGATCCCAGTACTAACCTATGGATGCGAGAGCTGGAAATCAACGAAAACTCTAGACACAAAATTAGACAGTTTTGAAAATAAATGCCTTAGAAGAATACTAAATTTCAAATGGTCAGATTTCCGAACCAATACACAAATAAGACAAGAATCCAGGCAAGAGTATGTGTCTAGTTTATACGAAAACGCCGCTGGAACTATGTCGGCCACGCCCTTAGAATGGATAAATCAAGACTTCCTTACCAAGCCCTCATTTGGACACCACAGGGGAAAAGATCTCGTGGAAGACCAAGGGAAACCCTGCGTAGAACTATCGTCAGGGAAGGCTCGCTCATGGGCCACTCGAACATCCAAGACCTACAACGGATTGCAACGGACCGCCGTGCATGGAGAGTCATGACCTCTGCCCTATGTGCCGCACTCGACACAAGAGGAAAGACTAACTAACTAACTATATATGACATATGTATGTTTCACAGCAGTATTTTTATGCACTAAATTTGATAAAGTACAAATGTCAACCCTCCCCCCCCCCCCCCTTTTCCGGCTCCTCTGATGCAACAATACACTCTCAGAATCAAAAAGTTAGCCCTGATATTTCTTTACTTTTGCTGGAATAACTTTCAGTTTATACCCAAACGTTATTGATGTTTATGTTTATTTTGACTGTAGCAAAAGCATTTTTGTTTGTCTGTAAGAGCCTTTATTGTTATATTTAAATAGCACACTTATTTACCTTAAAAATGACGTATAGTTCTATAAAATATGTCAAAAATGAATGAAACTAGTTTAATTTGTGTATACATCTTGATAAAAACTGTGGACACAGAGGGACTCCATTATTGCACAAGAACGGGAATCCCTGTTGACCTGTTTGGCCTATAAATACAGTAGGCCGTGTGACCACCTAACTTTAGTTGTCAGATAATTTTCTTTGAGGCCAGAACATCAGAGGCGGGCAACTCCGATAAAGTAATTATCTCCCCCTGGGATTACCCACTTGAGTGTAGGTCAGATAGCTAGTGATTACACCTGTCGGGTGGAGGTGTCAGCAGACAACCTGGACCATAAGTCAGAGTATTTCACAGGGGAAAGAAAGGTGGGACTCTTTTATGACCATGCAAAGCTATTTCCAGGTTGATAGACTCTGGAAATGTCAACAAGTGTTGTGCAGACCTGACTGAATGTACTTACCCACAGGGAGGATGTTTGACATCCCTTGAAGGAGAGTGGTTTCAGGAGTAGTGTAGGAGGAGCTTAGAAGAAGCTTTAAAAGGTTTGACTTTAGGGCTGGAAAGGAGACTATCAGCACACCATCGGTACTGGTACTGTTCTTTCCTGGTTTTAGGAGAGGTACCATGGTTGCTTCTCTCCATGTCTGGGGGAAATTTGCCACTGGCCCAACAGTAATCAATATGAATAAGGCAAAAAATGTAATGCATTTCACTATCATGGACCTAAAAATTATTAAGTAACTCAGACTTCACCTTGTGACCTTGTCACTATGCAACTCCTGAGTGAAAGTAAATTATGATGTCATAATGGCCTCAAAAAGCCACCCCCCCCCCCCCCCCCACTCCCCATCCCCCAAAAAACAATTCCATAATACTACTCTGAGTAGATATAATTATATACGGGGTCTCCTAAATCCTGTGCAGACGCACAGAATCACAACCATTAATTAAGCTTCGAGGGGAAAGTAATCTTGCAATTCTCTCCCACAGCTTTCAAATCTTGCAGCAACCTTGTAAAAGTTAGATTATGCTTTAGCTAAATAGATGCAAAAGGCATTTGAAAAACTGACAGTAGAGTTGGGGAGATGTTCAGTGATAGTGGCTAAGGAAGCATGGGTTGCCAGGCCTGGGATTATTTGCCATTTTTTACTGTGTTCCATGGATGTGACTGCCTTCTTTATTTCTATGGCATGCGGCCTTGCTTAAGCTATATGTGATGCCCGTAAAGTGCATAGTAAAGAAGTAAGTAGAAGCACAAAATGTCAGCTGTTTAGACAATAGTCCGTATGGGACACATAACTGAGCCTATAGATATAATTGTCCTTGTTCATGGACTTGCGTGCCAGAGTTTGGTGATGACTTTAGAGACTGTGTTGTGTAATTACTGTGTTAGTCGGTAGACTGACCTTTGTTCATAGCATCATCATAGATTTTTATATCTCAGAATAAACAGAAATACACACGTACATATGACTTTTAATGGCATATGACATTTTCTAAGAGTGTTTGGTAGTTAAAATGCCTCTTGTGTGGGCATACTCTTTATGCCTGTGAGAATCATTATTCATAGACAATTGTTACAATCTTAGACCTAGCTTATTTATTGTCAATCTTGGACCTGGCTTATTTACAGTGTTCCAAGCTGGAGGTAGCTAAGTAGGCCCTGTGTGGAGTTTCCAAATTGGAACAATTTTTCTGAAGTGCTGGTTTGTGCATCGGACATTGATGACAGTAAGTAGTACAGTAAGTGAGTTAGGTTAGAAGATAGAAAGAGGGAGAGAGGTGTGAAGTGAACACAGATGGTAATGCAAAATCCTGATGTAACCAAGAAACCTAGGAATGCCTCAATAGCCTTTATACATATTACTTGTCCACTATTATCCTATTATACTTCCCTATACATCCTTTGGGGATATCCTCATGTCTCCATCAGGTGACCTATCTTGTCCATTGGTATACAAGATATTCACTTATCAGAAATACAAGTCTACTGTTTTTACACACACTGAGCAGACATGAAATGGTGACATCTTTGATGACTGTTTAAAAATATTGGTCTCCAACCTTTTTCGGGTAGCGCCCCACCCACTCCCCCTTTAAGTATATGGCAAGACCCCCATGCCCCTCACCTCAACAAAATAAAATGTGACCAAAAAGAGCAAGAGTGAGTTCAAGACCCCATTCTGCCCCAAAAACTATCCTTGGCTTTTCGGTTTTTTTAAATAGTAAAAAAAAAATATTTTATTTGTTACTAAACTGGAAAACAAATGTTACTATAATGGATTATTACAGTTTAACTCATTTTAAAAAAAATTGCTTGATGCCCCTACTTCACCCCCCCCCCCCACCCCTTTTCCACACCCATCCAAGGGCGGCACATTACCCAGATTGGAAACCACTGGTTTAAAAAGATCATACCATTTACTTTTGTTTGTCTGATTGAGCTTTATTTGGCAATGTTGATATCAAGTAATTGTCACTACACAGTTAAATAATGGCCAAAATTCAAGTGTCTGTCTCCATGCTTGTTAAAATGAACAAAAAAATTACAAACATTTGGTTGGAGTTCATCAGCACTGTAACATAAGGAATTTATCAGGGAGTTTGTCAACACTGTAACATAAGGAAATTATCAGGGAGTTTGACAACACTGTAACATAAGGAAATTATCAGGGAGTTCGACAACACTGTAACATAAGGAAATTATCAGGGAGTTCGACAACACTGTAACATAAGGAAATTATCAGTGAGTTCATCAGCACTGTAACATAAGGAAATTATCAGGGAGTTTGTCAACACTGTAACATAAGGAAATTATTGGGGAGTTCGACAACACTGTCACATAAGGAAATTATCGGGGAGTTCATCAACACTTATGATCTTCCGGTCAAATTGGACGTTAGGCAGCGGCACTGTTCGAAACAGGCAAATTTTTTTGCTTCTGCCGGATGTGGCCGATGCATTTTTGCTCCATTTGTAGACTGGATATAGTTTCGTCGCCCAGCTTCTGAGTTGAATGCATGGAGTGACCCTGTGAGCTGCGGATTGCATTCGGAATGTTTTTTCAACTGTGACCAACGTGTTGGTGTGAATTGTAGATTCAGAAAATGGTGCGATGCCTGTCGTGCAGTGTTGTGATGCCCGTATGTGATTAAAATTGATCGCGTGGGCAACTGCTGATCTGTTGGCGACTTCTGCTACCATCAATGATGAACTGCAATTCTAATACTGTGATAAACATTCTGTGTGTTTTTCGTTGGCACAGGAGCGGAGCAAAGATGGGGTGACCCGTTTGCTATGAAGCTGAAACTAAGACTACCAGACCAGATCAACACTGTAACATAAGAAAATTATTGGGGAGTTCGACAACACTGTCACATAAGGAAATTATCGGGGAGTTCGTCAACACTGTAACATAAGGAAATTATTGGGGAGTTTGACAACACTGTAACATAAGGAAATTATTGGGGAGTTCATCAACACTGTAACATAAGGAAATTATTGGGGAGTTCGACAACACTGTAACATAAGGAAATTATCGGGGAGTTCGTCAACACTGTAACATAAGGAAATTATCGGGGAGTTTTTCAACACTGTAACATAAGGAAATTATCGGACAGTTCGTCAACATCTTAACATAAGAAAATTATCAGGGAGGTAGCCTACTTTATCTACTATATTAATATTACAATCTTCTCTAGACACGTAACATGTGTCTTTCTCGTGAACAAGCTTAACCTAAATTTGGCTGTTCCTGCATATCCAGGGACTTTTCTCTGTAATCAGCATTACCAGAATTATCAGCCATGTTTTCTCACACAAATCAAGTGTCCACATCTGCTGAAAAATACTCCAGTAGGGAGGATATACCTGCAATACTAACCCCTAATAGAGTCGTGTCAAATGAGATGCTCTACAGAAGAATAAAAGGCAGAAGCTAAAAAGGAAAATTCATATAATTTGAATACTATATATCTAAACAAATCTTTTCATGTGATAATGTATTGTGGTCTGAGAAGAAATTAAAAGAAACACACTGGAATAAGAAAATACAATATACATAATTTTCTTCAAATGCTCTGGCGATAATTTTAAGTGATAATGATGTTAGTCATAATAAAATGATATTAACTATACAGACAAAGCAAGAATAAGAAAAAAACATAATCACTAAATGTAGCCAGCTAGAATATAGCAACTGTTTAAATCAAAGATATACATTCCACTGGTGATTGTGAGTAAAATGTGAAAGATAATTTACTGTGCTGCAAACACTAACCTGATTTTTAAATTTTGGATTTCCATCAGCAAGTAGAAGAAGAAGAGTTTTGCAAGCATTTTGAGTTTCTTCTTGCTTTGATCTGGCCAAGCATTCTGCAACTGCTCGAATTCCTATGAACATAAAGGGCCGTGGAAACTTATTATATGATTTATTCAATACCTCAGAACTACAGTTCACTAATATACCCTTTACAACAAGCAAGTGTTAGCAATCCATTATTTTAGTAATATAGTCTTTGTGACTGAAACTAAGAGATCATCCCTTCAGAATGAAAAAAAATTTTTTTTACCGCTTTTAATATTTTTAAATAAAAAAGTGTTCATTTCAAATGCATACAGTAGTGAATACACTAACATTTTTTCCTTTTAAATCAAATAGTTTCATGAAGACAATTAATAATTTTCTTTACAACATTCTTCTACAATTTTATATCAGACTAATAAAAGCATGAGGTGCCCTTGACAGTCTTGTACAAAGCACAGTGCTATGGGTTCTTTTCTGAACGGAGCCAGACTTTTTTTAAACATTAATTCCCAGGTCGCCCCAGCCTTGAATGTGGTATCAGGTAAAGTCTTGGGAAGTAAAGGCAGCTGATGTAATGCTGACCACATCACCCACTGAGTGTCGAATGTTCTATAAAATATAGGTCTAGCACTATATGCCCAATGTGCCTAAAGGCAGAAGCCACATTCTTTGGAGAGATTTTTAGTAAAAGTCAAAAAACCAGGTCCAAGAAGTCACATTCTTTGGAGAGATTTTTAGTAAAAGTCAAACAACCAGGTCCAAGAAGGGAAAAGAGAGAGAAAAAAGAAATTGAAGAAAAAAAAACCACACCAGATTTGCAGATTTATGAAGTTTTATCAGAAGGCTCATTTCCCAAACAATAACATCTCTTCCTTCTCCATTCATGTTATTGGTCTACCATATTTTTGGTCTACTTGAGATCTATAATGTAAGCAGTTTCTGTCTATCTGTTGTCTGCCTTTCTCTCTCTTTAAATTCCCCAACTAATTAAGACTGTTAGGACACAGATTTTCATAATCTGTTTCATAAACCTGAGTTGTTTTCTTTCACTCTCCATTCTCTGCTGTCTGCATTTTTGTATGGGTTAAATAAATATTTGTTTGTTCGTTTAAAGTGAATAATAAGGCTTTGTCTCTTCTAGTTGTACACCCAGCTCAAATCTTGTTCACACTAAACTCCATACTGACGATAACTCTGCATGAGTCCCAATTTCATAGTAGATCATTAACATGCTCCCCCGTGTGGGTTCCGGGGCCCTACTATGGGAAAAACGAGAACAGACCCACTGCCTACCCAAAAGCATGTCGTAAGAGTCGACTAATTGGGAGCTTCCTTTGAAGTCGGAGTGCATCTGCCTGAGAGGCAAGGAACCAACAGTCTGCATACAGATCTGTCAAATGGATGCACACACAACAATCAGGTTCTCGAACAGGACTGCAGTCCAGAAGTGGACGAACAACCATAACTTTCTGCCAGAGTTTACAGCCGGTGAACGCGAAGAAGAAGAAGATTAACATGCTCACTTCATGAAGTATATGTTCACTCAAAAATACAGGTAACAGTGATTCAGCAAGCTTCTATCTTGTCAACAATTAGCCAGACATTTATGGCTAGTATGCATGCTTGGATATATTCAGTTTCAGATTCTCTCACAAACTCGCCATGCTTTCAGCTTCAGTGCCAAACACAGACTGATCTCCCTTTCTCTCACTCTAAGCTAGTTCCTTACCACCCCATAAGCAATTCTGTTTACATTGCTCACCCTTTCATATAAACTTTTACTATGTTGTACTTCATGACTTCTCATGTGGGAACGGCAAAATTCTCATTCACTCAAACTATATTTGGTCACAGGTTTCCTAATTAGCTTTTCACCCATAAATTATGTTATGAATTCCTAAATATATGTTATACTTTCTAACCAGCCTCAGTACAACTTGAAACTGTCACTGCCAAAAATTCCTTTTTAAAAATTAAAAAGATACTGGCTGTTTGCCATCACTAGCGCATGTGACCTTCAGTAGCATCCATTCTCCTGGTGTGTACCTGAAGCAATAAGTCTATTCATGTCAGTTTAGAAATAGGTCTCCTCCAGCACAAAAGTGTCCAAGGTCAATCAGGAATCTTATGAATCGCTCTTCCCAAGATGTCTCAAGTTTGTTCACTTGGGTTCAGATCAGAAGAATGTGCAGGCCAAGACAGGTGTATGATGCTACTGACACCTAATGTCTGCTTACAGTGTTTGTCCCAGGGCAAGGTTGTGCATAACAATAAATTCAGCACCAAGCACTTTTGAGAAATAGTCTTGTGACCTCGTCCAAATACCCCTGACCATTTACAGACCCATCCTAAAACTGGCAAGCCAATATGTCCACATTCCACATATAAAGATACCCAAAGAAACCATCAGACGAGTTACAATGTAACTGCCAAGTTCTCCAACAGCAAAATCAGCAAACTTTCTAGCATGTATCTGGACTCTACTATGATCATAAATATTCTCAAAAAATCTGCATTTGTCACTGAACACATGACGCCACTGGTGTGTAATCTGTTTGCTTATATATAGATCTTGTGTGTGTGTGTGTGTGTGTGTGTGTGTGCGTGTGTGTGTGTGTGCGTGCGTGAGTGTGTGTGTGTGAATGGTAGATGTGAATGGAGCTGATATACATTTGAAATTCGTTTTTATTTTTTCTTTAGCTAAAATTACTTACCAGAACACTCACAAATGAGTTCCTTGTACTTCCTACCAGCATTTCCAAGACTGTAAAGGCATTTCAAAGCTTCTCTTTTATCTACCTCCCTTGTTTGCTTGAAATCAATAATTTCTAGTAACGTTAATGTCCCACCAGATTCTATAAAGTCTGCCATAAATTTATGCCTGCCAAATAAGAGAGAAAATTAAACTACATATTTTTTAATTAAAAATTCGCAAGAAAAATAGTAAAATATAATAAAACACAAAAAACGAGTTATTTGTTCCAAATTATACCAAAACTGTATAAAAATAAACATACTTTTGCCAGATTTAGCTCGACCTAAATTTAAAAACAAAATTTTCTGCTGACGTCAATCTGAGTATCATCATTCCATTCAAAACTGTAAAATATCATATTCAGACATTTTGAAAGATATGGCTTTCCTCAGTGTTAAGAACTCTGATTCATTAGCAGGGGATTTAAGAGCACTAAGTACTAGATATTTAAAGATAGTGAGCTTGCAGAGCTGTAGGGTGAATTCTGTTCAAAAAATTATTCAGATGTACATAGTGTACTGCCGGCGTTCGTGGCATAGGCGTTGCGAGTCCGACTCATAATTCTAACATACAGCGATCCAAACCCACTGCTGGCTATGTGGATTTTTATATTGGTATGGGGAGTCCCACGTCGACCAGCCAGTACCAGGATGTATCTCCTGGGGAAGTAGAGACGGCCGGCATAATGCTGACTACATTACCCACATAGTGCCAATTGGTCTGTAAAAACTACTGGTGCTCTTCCCATACGCCCAATGTGCCTAAAGGCGTGAAAAGGGATCTTTACTTTTTTTTTACTTACATGGTGTACTAAGCTCTTCTTGTTAGGCCGTTGAGACTGTCATGGAGATTTAGCCTAACAACACATCTGAAAAACCCCCTCTATCTGTTTGTGTTTTGTTTGTGTAAACCTCTAGAAATGAAAGTTTTCTTCTCTCAATAAAAGGTCAAATGTGTACCACTATAGCTAGCTATGAGCAATATACTCTCCTCCAAGACCCACAAAAAAAGGATCAGCAGCTACTTTTGAAGTGAAAACACCACTCAACTGTCTGTGACAGACTTCAACAGCACTCTCTGAAAGATGAATGCAGCATTTCAAAGGTTTCAAAACAAGTTTCTCCAAGATGAAAGCATAAATCATTTAACACTTGTTCAGAAAAGCCGGCAAACACTCCAAGGTCTTTTCCAAATATAGGCTTCCACTATATACATGCACAGAGATTGCAGATTATAAAATGCTGATGGCTTCTATATGAACTGCATTTATGTTGGCTTGTTACATTTTAGTTTCTCTAAAAAATATGTATGTTTTGGATCCTAATGATTGGTCCTACAAAATATTCAAACTAACTGAATCAAACATGCTTCAAACCCCACATTCCTCATGATATTCTACAGTTTCCACTGTAGTCTATTAAACTAGTACGAAGATCACCATGTTACTCTCTACATTTTACAGCATAGTTCCCATTTTGAAGATACAGTCCTTGGTTCCACTGTCCTTTCTAAAACATGCTTGTACTTCATGTAATTTATATTTTATTTTCAAGCAGCAGCAAGTAATGGTGGTATCAAAGAAAAGAACTATTTGTTCCTAATGGGTAATAAAAGTCAATTGTGTGATTTTGGGACAAGTATAGAAATTTAAGTAGCTGGGCACATGGATAACAACAGATGGAAGATGCATTACTGAGATAATAAACATAATAGGACAGGCTTTGGATGTCACAGGTTAAGACCACTGTCTGGATCTTTTCTTCTGGAAATGCCAGTGTTTTGGGAAATAAACAGGTGGACAGACTGGTTGGTTCTGCTCAACATGGTGGAATACTAATGCATGAAAAGGCATTGGTTAAGTAAGGCCTCATGGAAGCCCATGTACAATTTGGAGGAACAAACTGATCATCACAGAGAGTGAGAGTGATGCAGCAAAGATTAACGAGGGAATCTGGCCTATTGTCAATATCATTATATATCATATAGTCGGACTGCTAATGGCACCACAAGTACTGGAACTATGCGCTGGCTGCCAAAGATGGGGACGGAGCGCTTATGACAATGCCCCGAGTGCTGTGATACTAGTTTTTGAAACAACTCAGGTCGTCAACTCAATTCTCGATTCATTCATTCATGTATTTTCCTGCCCAAGGTGTCTCCTATGTCCAGTGCCCGCCTTTATGCTGGCTGGCCCCTTCCTCTTCTACTTGGCATCATACCCTCCACTACTGTCCTTCACAAACTACTACAATGTTTGACTTGGACAAAGTGTTTCAGTTTCCAAGACAAGAAGCTGTTTATGAGCCATGCTGTCTTTTATATACTTGAATGCATACTGTAATATAAAAATAAGTAATAGCTATTTACTGTTGTTACATAATCACATAAAACAAGGCTTAACCAATGATCAAAGACAGTAAGATAACTTAAGATTATTCTTACCCATTTGATACTGACAGAAAGACAGCGACTGCACACAAAATTTCATGTGTACAGGTTCCAGTCATATATCTTGATGACGTTAAGAACGACATTTTTATTGTCCTGTTTACCATTAGTTTACTGATCTTATACAACATTTATTTTTGTGGATATTTTATACAAGATACAACTTACACAGGAGATACACCATGATTGTCACTTTATCACTGGTCCTCTCTCCCTTTTTTTAAACGCTACACAATTAAAAACATAATTCAATTAAAAAGGAACATTTAATATAATCAAAGCAATGTAGTATGAACATATCTGACTAAAATACAATTCAAAATATGTTTATTTCGTCTCTGTCTAAAGCTTTTGTAACTAGCTCTGTGTATTTTTCATATATACATTCTTTGAATAATGAAAATTTAAAAGTTTCAAAAAGAAAATCTGACTTGTACAAAATTAAACATTGAAGAAATTTACTTCTGAAGTACAATACTGTGGTCATATCCAGCTAACAGTGTACATTCCAAGAAAACATAACAAAATAAGAGATCCAGAAATACTGATATTTAAGACAAAATGAACATTTAAATCAAAAATTTTAATATAAAAAAACAGTTTTTGAAAATAAAATTCTTTGGCCAGATCAAGCATCACAGCAGATTATAAAGAGCAGTAAAGGAAGGCATAGTTCTTGGAAGATGAGGTTGGGTTAGCCAACAGTGAAAAAAAAAACCAGAATTTCAAGACAACCTTGGCATGAAAGTGCATAACAAAGGATTAATAGGAGATGAAGTCTTTTCAGAGGGCTGTGAAGAGGGTCATGTTCTGCAAAGAACTTGCTATCTGCTGCTCCTGATGATGTATATTCTGAACACCACAGGTTCCCAACCTGTTGGTGCAACCCCAAATGGAACGATAAAGGGTTTTCTATAGGGTCAGGAAATGGTCAGTTATAAAAACTATGAAAAGAGAACCCCAAAAAAAATCCTATAATCTTCTGCCCACATCTTTTGATGTCTCTCCAACAACAGACTTTCAATGCAAGTGAAAAAGAAAACAAGAAGCAAATTAAATTTATATGAATGATATGAGGCTGGCAGTAATAAAAACTCAAATGCACATTTGTAAGCTTGTTAATGAGTTAACAATTTCAATGATTGCAGTAAATATGTTTTAAGTTAACATGTGCAACAACAAAATATAGTCAAAGATTTTGTAATGTAAAAGCAAGAGAAGATTTTCAGTTTCAGCTAAAAATTAACTGAAGCACTGGAAGTGTAAGAAAATCAGAGCATTAAGGACAAACTAAATTACGTAAAGATCACAATTATAGAAGCAGCAATGATTAGTGCAAGACTAAAGAAGTAAGGTAAAACATAAGGCTTGCCGAATGCAATGCTAAAACAACAGAAACAGAAATAAGGACTAAAGAAGATTACAACAAGTAAGATGAAAAAACAAGAAGAACAGGCAGCTTAGAGCAGAAACAGTAAAATATTATTTAATACACTAAAACATATTACCATAAATGTAGGACAGAAAATAACATGGGAATCAGGGAGTTAATAAATAAATTCATTAGCAAACAATAAGGCAGCAGGTGACGATAACATTGCTACAGAAATTCTCAAGGTAGCAGATGATGTAACCATAAACTGAGTGAAAGATTTGTTTAACAGAATATGGGCAGAGGAATAAAACCATATTCGGTGAAAGAAAGGAACAGCTGTTCAAATTCTAAAGAAAGGTAATAGTATGGACAAACATATACATGTCCACATAAGTGTTGAGGAAACTAAGGGAAGTGATGAGGTTGACATGATGAATGTATGAATGTACATGGAGGAAAACTAGTTGAATTCTACATTCAGTCAGCTCCAAAAATTGGAGGAACTATCTTTGCACCTAAGGAGGTTCACAACCTTTTACTTACTTGGCATTCACCAAATGGTATGATTAAGAATCAGACTGACCACCTCATAATAAATGAAGAAGATAAAAACTCTCTGATGGATGAGCATACAGAGTAGCAGATATGGGCAGTAAAAAATTTTATGTGTGGGAAAAATGAAAGTAAAACTAAAGACAGCTGCTAAAACATATAAAGCAAAGAAAAGATGGTCATCTCTATGATGGTCTTCTATAACCTAATAAGTGTCTGTAAGTGTTTGTTGAACAAATGCACTCCAGTCTTGGTGGAAATAATGCTTGAGCTAGAGTGCACACAAAGTTGGAGTGCACCTGCCTGACAGGTGAGGAACCAACAGTATCACCATCATCATGTAACAGGTCTTTGCAGAACGTCACTCTCATCACGGTCTGCCTGAAAGAAACTCGGTCTCTCGCCAGCTCTCCCGCCTCATGTACTTTCATACTCAAGGAGTCACTTATATCCTGTGCCCATCTTCGTGTTGGTCAGCCTCTGTCCCTCTTCCTGGTACCATGCCTTCTGCTATAATTTTTTTCAATCCGTCGTGGCGCTTGACATGACCAAATATTTCAGCTTTCGAGACAGGATGCTGTTTATTAGCCAATCTTCCTTGATGTTCAGATCTTTCAAGATGTCAGTATTTCTCCTCTTCTTTGTCCAAGATATTCTAAGAATCTTTCTGTAGCATTTACATACAAATAAGCCAGATCTGTAAAGCAGATGTGCATGCAAAACTGGAACAAGAATAAAATCCAGAAGTGGACGTACAACCATACATTTTTATCAGAGTGTACGGTCAGTGAACACTACGATGAAGAAAAGGAATTAAAGGTGTAGAGGAAGACAATGGTTTTTGACCCAGAAGAAGCTGCTTACATCAAATCATTACACAGACACATTTTTTTAAACATGACTGACTTTAAGAAGGTTTTTGATAACTTAACAAAGAACATCAATGTAAGAACCTCCTCAGAATGATATGCTATAAAAATTGTTTCTCTACATTATCAAAGAATGTATGAGAATGTGCATTGTGAACGGACAATGGTTCAAGTGACTAGTGTGATGTTGAAAGTGGCAAAATTGTGAAGTCTTTATCTCCCTTGTTTTCTTCATTATTGTTGACTGAGTAATTAAAAAAAATGTGGTTTTAGTATCAGCTGGATTGAGGATATTAAATTGAAGATGATACTGTACTCCTAACTAGAACAATAATGACATGTAGAGAAAAATAGATGATTCAACCAATTATAGCATCAATATGGGCTCTATAAATCATTTATAAAAAGCAAACACATTTTTCAGATTTAAGTGAATGTCACACTGGAAAAACAACATGCTTCTTTGGTCATGCTTGTTGCTGCTTCAAAAATTATGGTCCTTACGTTATTCAGATATATATGTCAGATAACAGCTGAACCTATAATTCCTATGCCACATAAAAACTACTACAGCTTGGACAGAATCGCTTTACTGTACAGGAATAAAACTATGAAATATGGTACAAATATAATAATATAGAGCACTATTTGATGGAATGTAGAAAAATTATCAAAGAAAATCAGTAACTGAGTATATAAATGAAAAAATGGAGGAAAAAAAATGTTATACACAGACAACCCCAGAAACCTGTGTGACAAGGTCAGGCATTTCATGAACTAAAATCCATAAATAGAAGGGCAAGAGAACGCCTATGCCAGCTCTGAATGATAATTACTCCTAAAGTTGAAACTAATGAAGATAACCAACAATTATACAAAGGGTATAATAAATCCACTCTTTCAATGACACAAAATTAGTAAAATTATCTAAATATTCACTGTACATTTTCAGTGGTAAATAAAGGCAGAAACTGGCCATTTTTCAAACTGGCAGTAAACAGGAAAGATGTGAAGATAATTACATTGAAAGATAACAATAATGAGCAGATTAACTGTCATCTATTTACTTTCACGACACAATGCTAAGAAGAGTATCTAAATACTCAGTGTACAATATCTGTTCTAATCATCACCCAAAAGGGGTGAATAAGACAATATTTCAATTAACTCTGAGGCTCCAGCAATGCTGAATGTCTTGATGGGAAAGATCTCATTTCCCCCATACACACAGTCAGCATCGATCGTGTCCCATACAAAATGATTTGTAATTGGCTCATTATCCATTTCTAATGTTCAGAACCACCATTGAAGTATTCAGGGAAAGTTACTCTAACGTTTTTCTTTGTATACAATTCTTTGCACATTTGGGTGCAAATGTATCGATTCATTGCTAGTGTTATTTTCAGACAGTGAATTTTCTGACTTTGCCTTTGACTAGGCATAATTACCAATCTTTCGAACACAAGTAAAGGAAGAACAATTTGCCTTTCTGTGGCTGAAGCTCTGAAATTGTTTCAGTCAGATGTTTTTCAATTCTAATATTGATATGGAAAACTAGAATTTTTCTGAAAGTGATTTGGAGGCGAATTTACACCAGCAGCAGCTGAGAGGTTAGCTGTTAGTTCTGATGAGGTAAACTCAGGAGGACCCATTTAATTTGCGAAGGATGTGATAGTCACCCACATTTGCTAACGCAGCATGGATTGAGGCTAAACTAGGTGGCTAGGACTCACGAGCAGATAAAATTAAGGCTGCTGCAGGAAATACGGTAGCTGCTGCTCGTAATTCCCAGCCATCTAGTTTAGCCCCATTCCACAACGCGTGAGCGGCGTGTGTGATATTCTCGGCGGTGGCGGAAGTGCGCAATTGACACGTGACTAAGGCCCTGTTAGGGTATATTTTCTGCCTCGATAATTTGGGACCGTTATTCGGAAGAGAGCCATCTTTTCTTTCCTAAGTATGTGGCACATATACAATACACAAATACACACAATAAAACTGACGGAGAGTTGGTCAAGGATACGTCAACCGCAGCCATGAAGTCATTCTGAAGAGAAAAAGACTCTCTGCTTGGGCAAAATAGTGCTCCACCTCGGGGCCAGTTTTACCTTGGTTCGCCACAACAAAATCCTGCAACAGTCGCTTCCTAACTTTTGTTGTTCCTTTGTCCCATTTTCCTATGATATCAGCAACGCGATATACTGAAGTTTTATAGTCTGTAGGCCCCATAGATATTGTTAATATGAGAAATAAATTTGAAACAGCAAAATTTAAAGGTTTAATTTTAAATTTTTATCCCTCATCAAATTTTTCAAAAGTAACGCATGGGCATTTAAAATTTAAATATAATATATATAAAATAAAATATATATATATATAATAAAAATATATATTAATTTTATGCACTTTTTTTGAATACCATCCCCAAAATTTTTCACGTTGAAAAACCCCCCCTTTTTAGGCCTTAAAAAGTTTTTTAGGTTAAAACAATAATTGACATCCGGGGACTCGGGGCATTCCCATGGGTTTTTTCTCCCCCCAAACTTCAGCCCAAACCCGCGCAGAGTTTCCCCTACTGATGGCACCAATCATTTAAATGGGTTTTTTGGGGCCCCTTTCGACTTTCCCCCTGAGTCGGCCAAAAACCCTTTTGGTTACATCAAGGGCCTCATTCTCTCCAGACCATAAAATCTTTTTTTTCCCCTTTCTGATTCCGGGGTTTGGTTTTCCCAAAAAAGGGGCCTTTACAAAATCTGCCCTGTATGAAAACAGTTCACCCCCCCATTTGGGGGCCCGGGGCCCCGCCAAAACTGTCCCGCCCGTTCATTGCCCACCCCGCCCCGGGATGACCAAAGGGGGGAAAAAAACCAAAAATTGCTCAAAAAAACCCGTGATTTTTTTCCCGTTTAAGCTTGCCACTCTGCCGAAGGGTCCCCTTTTTTTCACCTTTCTCAGCATCTTTTTGAGTCTGTTTTCCATTACGACATGTTAATTTGTTAGTTGTTGGGTTATCCTCATTGCACTCCGGACATTTCCATGGGGCTCAGATCCTCCCCTCAGGGAGAACCCCAACGTCCATTTGGGTAATAGTACCAGTTCTTTTGGGTTAAAATTTAACCCAATCCCCCTGGCGTAGGGTGGGGTGCGTCTCGTTTTTTTTCTGTGCCATCTTAATTCCCAAGTCTGCCATTCGGCGATGATGTGGTTTCAAATGCCCCAAAGTCCTCTATCCTTCCCCTTTCCTTTAGGGCCAAATTTATAAAATCCCGCAAACCAT